CCAAGTCAATAAAATCTGTTAATGAGAGCATTTGTACAATATTGACCAGCCAGTTGGTGCTTGTTGGAGCTTATCAGATGCAATGGAGTTCAGCATCTCAGCTGTCCAAAAACCTCATGAGAGTAGTTGCTGCAGGTAATTATACTTTTTCCATGCTAACCTGTCTTGTAAGCCATGCCCCTCATCTATAGTTACAAGTAGCTGATTGGTTCATAGAAAATGTTCGTGTAGCTGTCCATTTACTCAAACTAAATGTGTTCACAAATGGTAAGCGGACAGCTACACAAACATTTTCTATGAACTAATCAGTTATTTTTAAAGATGAGCTTTCAGGTCAGGTTAGTGTGGAGTAATAGGGTCATTGTGGAGTGCTATTACTGCGTTTTATGTGTGATAGTGCTAAAAGTAAGTACCCATGCAAAAAGTTTTCATAAAGAGGGCAAAAATATCTGTTTCAATAGTGAAGATGCTTGAAATTATTTAAAAATTTGAAAAAAAGGTATCTCTGTGTCTTCCATTAGGTTGAAGACAGTGACTATGAGTAATTCACTGCTTCCATATGCGTGGCACAGGAGGACGGACCATTAGCCTGTACCAGGCCAGCAGAAGTGCAAGAACTGTAACCCCATAACTAAGGTAAGTTGAATTTTTATAAACAGTTCGTACTGTAAAGTATTCATTACAGGATCAGTTGTGCATTTTGATGGTCAGAAATGTTGTAAGAAATTCTCATTGTATTATTTTGTGTATACACAAGGAAAAAATGAAACCCTCCCAATAAGGGACAGAGCTAGCACAATTAGTCTGGTATTGGAAAGGCTTACTGTACAGTATTTTGATTTATTTTTTTGTAGTACAGTACTGTATATCATTTTCTGATCGGTTATTAGTTTCTGTTGTGTCAGCTGATGGTGGTATGGGTGCTTGCCTATATGAAATCAATATCAAAATTACCAAAACATGCGAGGATTTTCAGCCCTTCTACACTCTGCTTGATTTCTGGACCTGGCATACATCCTTCTGTCCTGTTCATCATTTGTCCCAACCCATCTCAGAAATTCAAGAGATGCATCGTGACAAATGATGAGCAGGACAAAAGGATGTATGCCAGGTCCAAGAACCAAGCATAGTCAGAGTGTAAAACGCTGAAATGAGGCACTGCATGGAGAAACTAGCACAAGCGCCAACCAGGCCACAATCACGTTTATGACTGCAAACGGTTCTAAAACACCCTATTTTCATAAAGTGATGGATGTAGTGCAAAAATGTCACTGACCATATGGTTAAAAGTCCATAGACAAAAACCTAACTCTGGTCAGTATCTCATCAAAGCGACATTTTGACCATTTTTGCGTGGTGAATGCAGCACATCCGCCAAATTCTTTGTGTGAAACATACGGCCTTATGTCATAAGGCTGTAAGTGTGTTTGTGGGTTTGGAGGTAGGGGTTTGGGGGTAAGAAGACAGTTTGATGGTGGAGGCAGCCAATCAGCAAGCAGAACTGCATGCCGGGCAGGGCTGGTGGCACACTTTTTTCAGTCCATGTCTTGAGACTTGAGTGTGGAGGAAGTGCATCTCGTGCTAAGGGAGCGTGCTTTTCTTCATTAATATCGCCGTTTGCGGTTGTGTTTTATCACTACACAACAATGTCAAGTGATAGTGACTACGTTGATGATGTTGAGGCCCAGCCTGAATCCTCTATGTCGATTGGAGGCTTCTCTTCAGTAATGTTTTATTCTCAGAAGCCACCTAGGGAGTCGGTGTCCCAGAGCCTGATGACAGTGAAGCCTCCCACAGTGGAAAATCAATTTAGGGTGTATTTTTATTATGATAATCATGATTGGAAAACAAAAACATTTACCTGAGTTTTATGACAAAACATTAAGGAAACATCATTTTTGGTTAAGTTAGGTGAGGTTAACAGTATCGTTGCAAAAAATTATTTGCATAATTTAGAAACATTCAGCTTCATTTTAAAACAAACTGCAACATTCTAACTAGAAATCTTTCTGTGTTATCAATTTCTGAATGTTGCAAACTTTGAATGTATTTCCTGACAAAAAATGAGAATGGTGCTTGTGCTAGTTTTTCCACACAACGCCTCAAATAGAGTTTTGGAGGTAGATTGCAAACAAGGTCAAGTGAAACCTAAAGGCTTTCTACCATTATGCAAAATCGAAATTAAAGACAAATGTGGGCATAACAGACCTGGGACTTGAAGATGGTAGTTACTCAAGCTCCCATCAGGAAAAAGTGGAGGCATTAAATAAATTTGTTTCCTCAGTGTTCATGAAAGGATGCGAACAATCTCCCTGCATTTCAGGAAAGATGGTTCGACACAGTGCTGACACACACATATGCTCTCAGAAGAGTGTACTGTATTATGAACAAACTGTCAAGGCTAAACGTTCATAAGAACCCGTGCCCTGACAGCGTGTATCCCAGAGTGCTAAGAGAGTTGTGCAATGAGCCCCTTAAAATTCCCAATGACAGAAAAATGGCATATGTGAGTCCTATATTCACAAAGGGTGATTGCTACTCCACAAATACTTATAGGCAAGTGAGTGCGTTAAGTACTAGAGAACATTATACGAGATGCCATGATGGAACTGGTAAATATAATTACATTTATATTTAGTTCTTAAATAATGATTGGTGTATTATGTTGAAAAGTATTACAGTATTATTGTCATAAATTTGCAGGAAAGTAGATTTTCTTTGTCTCCAAGGAGGATGTTTCATGAGGTTAGGCTCCTTAAGAGTTATATTGTATGGGAAAATAGATTTAGTTCAACAGCAGTCCACTTCCTTACATAATTTTGAGTTTTTATTCATTTAAATTTGGTCTAGGGAGTAATATAAGTACAGAACTGTAATCAAACTACAAAATGTTTATTAAGTAAATAAAGTACTAAAACTAACAAAAATACAATACAGCTCAAATTGGTGTACTGTATATTTTCACAAGAATTGGCATTGTTAACATGAATGCAGCATTGACCATAGTTCCAGGTCAAGGATTGTGTTTCTCATGGCTTAGGGATAAAAACCATTTCCAGTGAATATTTCTCACTGGTTACCTGTACCAAACTTATAGCCTAAGAAACTGCATCTCCTGACTCTAGATGATCAGAAGAAAATGACAACACCATACACTCACAAGTCTTCTACAGCAATGTGACAATATCTCTGAGCTTGTTATCTTGGTCCCAAACATATTCTTTCAGGAAATTTTATATCTTTCTTATACAAAAAAGGGTGACAGAATATTTTCCTTTGCAACATATAAATGCTTTCAAAGATCATGTTAAAAGAGCCACATTCTTTGGGATCAAAAGAGCCTAAAGAGCAGCAGAGATTGTGCACCAAACAGTGACTATGATTTATTCTCTTGTGGAGCAACCTGTCACACACCAAGACTGCACAGGATTCATAAATTTCACTTCTATAAAACTATGTGAAAGTTCAACCATATGTTTATGCTTTTAACACAAGAATTCATGTTGCTAGGGCAAAAAACAAACAGCTCACATGAATGTAAGCAATATAAATAACAGGGATTATTCAACTTTAGAGCTACCTTTCTTGTGTGAGTTCTACCCAGCAGCAGCACACAGATGAAGAGTCATAAGCCTGATATGAGAAAAAGGCAAAATGACCAAACTGATCACACTCAATGATCTAAACTAATATTAACTGATTCACAGATTCCATACATAGTTCTTGTAAGTTATTAGACATAACATCTACAAAAAAAATTAATAATAATAATAATAAAATAAATATTACAAGCAGATCCATTAACTCCTGATGGGGGAATCACAATGATATTTCCTACCATCAATAAAACAAATATTAATGTAATTCTATTTCAGCACACACCAGAGAGCTTCCTCATAACTCCAAGCCTGATAATAGGCAAGACCAGAAAAGTAACCCATCGAAAAGACAGTCCAGATTACTCACTGTGAAACTGGATGTTTCCTTGACACAGAAGTTATACTAGTTCCCAAGCAGCTCATCAGTAATATCCAAACAACTAAACATCTTTAACACCCTTAACTTGAAATACACCACGGGTTTTCATGATTGATCTAATCTCCTTAAAATGTACATAAATAGCCAGAAACAATGTGCTCATCTGACCTCCTCCCTGTATTATCCATGAAGGAAAGGCCTTGGCTTCAAAATACAGTTCTATTGCTTTTTAGGGCTATAGATGCTGTAGAATAGGTTTACTAATACAGTACTGTAGTTCAGATTTGTCCTGGATGCTAATGTCAAGGTCTTCTGTCCTTGACCAATGGTTTTGAGAAGCATATGTATTCTTTCCACCTAGTAAAGGCTGACATGCCATGAAATTGGTGTTCTTGATATGAATAATGCATTAAAATGTTCTGCACTCTGTAGGTGGTGAAGCAACCACAATACTAACAAATTGAACTTCATTTTTGCAAAAAAATATTGTAGTGGAAAGCAAATGTGATATTACCAGTACAGTACACAGCAGTCTTCATAATTTGTTTATAATTTCAAGGCAAATTTTACAATTCAATTTCTCTTAACTACTGTATATTTTGCCCTTACTAAGAATGGATTCACAGACATTCTGATGTACCTGTACTTCACAGACATTCCGATGTACCTGTACTGCCCTATCACAATGTTAGCAAGAGTAAAAACCAGAAAATAAAACCGATTTTAACCCCTTCAACCAAGGGATGCCACTTTTGATAATTAATTTAGCTAATGTTAAGCACTTTTATTCAGCACAGAGGGGACCCCATACACAAGGGCTTTGGGGGGTAAGTACAATTACAGTACAGTACCATTAAAAAGAGCTATAAAAGCATGCCACTATCAACAGCAAAATACATAATTCAAACCTTACAACTGCATCTTGCCATCTTGTAGACACCTTAACCTTACAGAAACTACAACTGCATGTGACTCACCTTTAAAAAATCTATGTTAACTCAATCTTGGAGCCTCCCACTGACCTGAGGGTATAGTTGCAAGGTGTGTGGGTGTGGGGGGTTGATCGCTCCTTTTCTCCTGCTCCTCCAACACATCCTCACATGCTTCTTCATTAAGTGTCTGCAGTGCCCCAAAGATCAACTGTTCCTCCATTGTCACCTGCCAATGTGGTATAAAAGATAAGCACCAGGAGCTATCAAAGGAGAGGAAGCATAAAACAGAATGACTAGTTAACCTGGAACTGACTTTACATAAACAGTAGAGTTAAATAAGCAGTACTTATTATATCACTGTTTTTTACACTGAGGTACTGCCACACAAGGATGAAAATAATTATTATACTGCACAGTAAAGGTATTTGCCTACAAGGTAATTATTAAAATATGTTGCTCAGTAGTAAATAATGACTAATAAAATAATTCCTATGATGAGGAAAATTACCATTAAAAGTGTCATAAATTTCCTAGCAACTACTGAACTACAGTATAACACTACAACAGTCTTGTGCCAAGATCAATTTCCGTGATTACAGATGTACAGGAACTCATAATACAGGTACTGTACAGTATAGCCATGAATACGATACTAATAATGAATGTTACCATAACTAGTGGACTACAGCAACTAATCAACTCTTACCACAGTAATGTAAATATTGTAGTACTGTCTAGTGACTCTAGTCAGTCTTCTGGATTCATTAAGTTCAGAACAATTTCAGTTAAGATATTAATTAAAGTGCAATTAAAACTTTACTAAATCCTCTTATGACTTAATATCCTCCCTAAGTGACTCACAAATTACACCACTAAGGCACAAATTCATTCAATTGTTGCACCTTCTCATTATAGCCAAGTCCCTAAGAAGGGATGTTTAGAAATGAGTCACCTGTGGTAGAAGGCCTTGTCTTATGGTGCTACATCAAAATATGCACATCTCATCTGTTAAATGAGCCAATTCCTGTTACAGCTATGACTGCATCCTGTTTGGATACATCAGCAATAACTTCTACACCCTTAAAAAGCCATGGAACTAAGTGCTTTGGCTTCTACTTTTAGCAGTAGTGGAGTTTTAAGGCTGGTTTTACGCCCTTCTTAATTAGCGACAGTACAGTATTTGTAAGAGCTTGTCCTCAGCTTTTTTCGTGTCACTGCACAAGATTTGTTATATGTTTATTAACAACAAAACTTTAATTACAACAATGGTGTTGGTATATGGGTTGATTCTACCCAAGCTGTGTCTGAGGACTAACCCAATTTCACAGTCAATAACTCAGCACTGTCTCAGGACAGTTTCATCTACCAGGCATGGGTGCCTGGCCCAGGGAATAGGGTATTTCATAGGTGTGGACTGAATTAAAATTACAAGGTTCTATTACAAAGGCTGATTTAGAGGTACAGTACAGTAAGTTCCCTCCACAGGAGTGAATGGACCTACATACATAATTTCTTTAGAGTTTAATGCATACACTTTTATACAATACTATGTTGTAGAGGTAGTACTGGACATACAGGAACTCTTCATGGGTTTGCATGACAGCAATGTTGTGTCTACACATCTGGTTCTTGTATGGCTGAGTTACAGTCCTCAAAACAGTATCATTCTCACAAGAGAGCAATGGCACTGGCATCTCCAAATTCTTTAAGTCAGCACTGCAGGATGGATAGTATGGGCTGGATTTTCTCTTGTCCAACAAGAAGGTTATAATTAATCTATTTGTTTAAGAGGTACTGAGTAAAGGGCAGGTCTGACATGATGTTCTGGTACAATACTCATTAATTTAAAGTGATTTTAGTCCCCCCCCCCCTTTTTTTCTTCTGCAGATGGAAGCCAATTGTAGGGGAGGAGTATCATATTTTTTGTTTTCAATATATCTAAAGTAACAGGAGTTAGAGAGCAAGATTCTTCTAGCGATACCATAATGGAAACATGATAACTGGGTCTCTGCTAATGTAATAATCATCTGATATAATAGATTTATATACTGTATACAGCACAATACTATACAATATTCCCACAATGTTCCAAATTACAATTTGTGTACCGGTAAGTTATTACCCTTGAGTACCTAGTGGAAATATTTTTCTTACCAAAATCTGTTGTTCTATACTTTTACTAGAACATTATACACTTCTTGTGCCATTTTAGTTATATGTTCTCACATAGAAGGAGAGCTGTTGTAGCCATTGAGATTCATCAGTACAGGGCATTTGGGAGCATGGAAGAAACTATTTATAGTTTTCAGAAAAAGTAAAAAAATACCTTTGTATGAATTTTGAACAAAATCTACAGAGTGACTTCATAAGCCGAAAAGCAAGGTACCTAATAGGTCAGGCATTTCTGGAGCAAGATATGGCTTTCCACTGGTAGGTGAAAATTATCGTGTTTATATGGTAAAGTAAATATAATTCCTTCAAGGACCTTTTAATAGGACAATATTTCAAGGGTATTTTATTTAACAGTCTTATAGAGAATTTACTGTATTCAGGATCATTACGGTACCAAATTCATTTCTCTAACACAATTAGAGCAGATGTTGTGAAGAAAAGTTTATAAATTTTTTGCTAAGGCATAGGAGGTGGTGGAGTGAGTGACGGAGAGATTGTGGTCAGTTTCTTCCCCAAAGGTCGCCTCCCTCCCTCCCTCCCACCCAGTGCATGTCACCGACTTGTTGCCTCTCACTCATTCTATTATGACTGTCATTCATGTTACAATATTGTTTATTTGATATTCATTAATTATGTAGTAAAGATACATTACTGTAATAATCTGTGTTTATTAATACCAGTACTCTTCATATACAATACTGTATATATCTCATAGGTAAAAAATATGCAATGGTAACAAATTCATTTCTCTTACCCAAGTAGACCATATGTGAATGCAAATTTTACACTTTTTTGCTAGCAGTAAATATATTTGCTTGCAGCCTCGCACCTCAAAAATACCCAAACTTTTGTCTTCATTCAAGAAATCTTCAGATCATGAGATCCACGAATCCCCCATCCTGACAATGGAAGACCTGACATTGCATCAGAAGGTCAGTAATATGAGACCATTAATCCCCCTTCCTACCCCCACGTGATACTGATCAGGTCAGGTCAGTAACAAGAGACCCGCTAATCCCCGACCACACCTCCAACGCAACTTTTCTTATGTTTTTCATAAAAGAATTGCGTCCCCATCATGGATCAGTTCTCAAGGAAGCTATAAATGAGAGAACAGAGTGGTGGTGAGAACCATAAGAAGGAAGTTTAGAGAGCAAAGACTTGTGCCATACCCTGTTAAATGCTTGGAGATGTCGCGGGCCACGATAAAGGTTTCCCCACTATCCATAAGAGAGGATGACCAAATATGGGTCTAGTAGGAAACCAGATCACAAGAAGATCTTGCCTGGTGGAAAACATACTGGTGATCCGACAAAAGATAAAGGCATTCAAGGTGCTGGAGAAAAGGAGAGTTTAAGATACAGGTAGTTTTGAAAATCTTAGAGAGGAATGAAGTTAGGGCAATGGGGCGATAATTAGGGGGATTAGAATGGTCACCCTTTTTTGAGATGAGCTACGTAAACTTAACAACTCTCTCTCCCCCCACCCTTGATAACATAAGGATATTATTTAATCAGGTGAAATAAGCTGGGAGATAATCTTGACATGATCCCAATTTCTCTATGCTTCCTTGTGTCGCATCTTCAACACTTGGGGATATTCAGATTAACGCACTATTACTTAGAATATCCCTTATCCCCGTTAGTCTTCTGTACTAGATTTAACAGGCGCCAAACAGTATCACACACCTTTAACATTTGTTAAATCTCTCATTCCAGTGCATGAGGTCATCCCATCTCTTTTTTTGTGTGTTATGGGGAGAGGGGAATGTCACTGATAGCTTGACATTTAAAAATTTACTTTTACATTTTACTTTTATCCTCTTTGCCTAGTTAGCTGCTTGGGCGGTTGGTCACGTCTCTGTTATACACTGTTGGCAAGTACTGGGTATGCAATGGCTCCTGAATGTATCTGAACTTGCTCCAGTGATGGTCAAGTCTGGTCTTGAAACAGCTTACACTTGGTGCCATCACAACTCTCTCTGGCAGGTTGTTCCAAGAGTTTACAATTCTCACTCCGAAAAATTTTGCCCTCACAGTTTTATGGACTTGTGGCTTCTTCAACCTTGAGCTGTGACCCCTCGTGGGGCAGGTGATCTCCAGCTCCAGGTATGGACACTCGATTGAGTAGTGCCCTTTGAGATCTTTATACGCCTCAATTAGGTGGATAGGGTTGAGCACCTTTGCATTGTCAATTAAGGCTCTTAAGTTCCTTTGGTTTATTAAGCTACAGTTTGAGGATCTGTAGATACACTCAACAATAAGTAAGTCTCCCCTCCTTTAATTTAATTTTCCACCACTTTGATTCTTCAAAACCATCCTCCCCCTGTACCCTCACCTGGCTGGCTCTAAGGTTTGACCACAGCCCTCTTGCATGTTGCTTGAGAAAGGTTTGTAAATAAGTCATATCCGCCTATGTTGACCTCGCATTCCTTCAGGTCAATTCTCCTACCACACATGCTCTATCGGTTGATGTACTTTGAGTATGGTTTTAAACTCTGCTCTCTTATCAAGGAGTGTCAGTATTAGTGTACAGTGGTCCCTCGGTTAACAAACACAATTCGTTCCACAGAGTCGTTCGTTAACCGAAAATTTCGTTAACCGAATCCGTTGTTTCAATGGAATACAGTACAGTATTGGGTAATTGGTTCCAGCTCACAGAAAAGTACATACAAAGTAAAAAAAAAAAAAAAATGCAGTAAAGTACACTTGCTTTGAGGTGTGTATGTAGAAGGTTCCTGGTTGATGATGATGGGAATTAGAAGTGGGGGTGTAGGAGAAGGTTGAAGAGAAGGAAGTGAGGATGGAGGAGAAATCACCTTTCAGGGGACCCATGGTTGATGCAGTAATTTCACCAATAAAATTTTAAGTTCACTAGGTGTAATTCAAGATTATTTTATTTAAATCAACACTGCACTGCACTATATATTATCAATATATTAACTAAATTTCAGAATGACCAATAATTTTAATGTAAAAATGCAAAAATGTTCAAGACACCAATAAAATAGATGTTCACTCCACTGTCAACAAAGCCAAACTGACGCCTGGTGGCTGAGTCAAGCGGCTGATGGGCGCACAAAAAACTAGTTCCCTGTACTGCATATATTATGAATATGTTAACTAAATTTTAAAATGACTAATAATTTTAATATAAAAAATGCAAAAATATTAAAGAGCACAACTTTCTTGATATTTAATCCTCTGGAAACGAATGTAAACATAGAACAGATTACTGAATTGGCAGACTAGCCCATCAACTGATGCTCACAACAAAACGTGATGTTCGTAAGGATTTCGTTAATCGAAGTTCTGTTCGTTAACCGAATTGAAGATCCTTATGGGAGGTAATTCATTAACTGAAATTTCGTTAATCGAACCGTTCGTTAACCGAGGGACCACTGTATGTGACTTTCAAGCCACAATTTGTTCTCGGTGACTCCAGCCTCCCTCCATTCTCAGTAGCTGCAGCATTTACTAAATACATTGTATTTTGTTGGGTGTGGTCAGAGATAACATTGTTTACATGGCCGCCTCCTGGGTAGGAGGTAAGAGGGTGGGGGGTCCCGCTGTCCCCTGGTTCTGTACTGGCGCACTTGCCTCCACTACTGTCCCCATGTACATAAAACCTATGCACGTCCATCCCCATTCCTCATTGAATCCTCCCCTTCTGCTTCAAGCACCACAGGAGTTTTTTGTGCTGTTCCCTCTGCATTACTGTGCGATCTGGGTGTATGAATACATTCCGAAATGCATCACTCCTTTACAAGTTTTTTGCCTACCGAATAACTTCCCATTTCTTATCCTCACTCACTAGTGTGATCCTGAGGGGGCGAGGCTTGTTCTCTTGCTTTTGAGTTATCCTCTTCACCACTTTTCACCTACAGTAGCCAGTTGCTTCATTCTTTGTTATGCAGCTGGCAAACTGGGCATGGAAGGCTTTTGAATATACCTGAACATGTTTCAGTGGTAAAGTCTAAAGAAGCTCACAATTGGTGGTTAAATCATACTTTGGCAGGTATCTTACTCCAAAGAAGTTAACTCGGACAGGTTCCTTCATTGACAGTTTCTTGAATTGAGGCTAACTCAGTTATGTAAATTAATTTAAAGTGCTCATAAACTTCTCTTTAATGGTGAACAGTTTGTGATGGCCTTCCTCCCAATTAATGCCTCATGAGAGTGGGAGAAAAGAACAATAGTTCATAAGTACAGTATATGAAAAAAGATTAAAAAAGTAAATAAAGACTTTTGTGTATTGATTTATATACAAACGGCTCTCATGATCTGCTGATTATAACTGTACAATGTTTTCAGTGTTACTACTGTATACTTATTGGCTGTCATTTTTAATTCAGAATCTATTCGATACCCATGCATTACTTACGGGAATTTCCACTAATACTATAATGTAATTTACTTTGGCAAACTAGTGATGTGGTTTCTCTTGTTTTCATATTTCTTCATACTTTCTTAGAGTCATTGTATCTTTATACATATTTAAAATTGAGTTTCTTTGTCTATATATTTACCCTGTTATTTCAGTATAGTATAGCTTACTTATTACACATTATCTGTTGTAACCCTTGCGCTAATCCATTGGGCTTGTTGACACCGAGTGAAGGTCGTCTGGCCATTAAAGGGTTTACCTTACAACCAATAATGAGTCCTACAAGAACCATAAATATTGTTTCTCTTCATCGTGTTACTTCCCGCCACCCACCATTCTAGTGCTCCAGCTTCATCCTCCTCCTTACCCTTTATCAATAATTCACTTATACTTTGACTCATTTACTGTTTTACTAGTGTCCAACAATGTCATAATATCACTTTGGAACCCATGTAACAGTGCCACTTCTCACTCTCGGTGAAGTTGTATAGCTATGCAGGTGCAGCTTCTACTGGCATTACTGTACATTAAACTCAGACATTTAAGCAAAGATCAGATCTAGACATTTTCTTCAATTTATTATAAATTCGAAATTCAATAAATTCATTAAAGTGAATACTGTAATATAAATCCGACTTACTGTATGTGCAGTAAAAAAAATTCCGAGTATCTACTACAGTCCCCATTGTCACATCTCAAATTTTTTCTTTCTCTGATAAGATCCTGGTTCTTACCTGTTTAATACAATGATACTCAACATACTTTAAAATTCCTGCAATACAAAATAAAGAATGACACCCGGAAATTTTCATTATCCACAATAAGAGATGAAACACTGCATTGCTATACTGTAATCAACTTTACAAAACAGTTTAGTCAATACTGACAGTACACTGGAAGAATTTTTAGAACAAGAATCATTAAATATGTTTTAAAATCATGGTGATGGTAATACTGTACCATTCATGACATGAGAGGTGGGGTCATTTGTATCATACAGAGTTGTGTTGTGTAAACTCTTGTAGCTAACAAAAATGAAACAGCTTAAGTCTTGCACTACTGTACTTCTAAAGCAAATCAAATCTGGGGTGGTAGCATAAATTCTCAATTCTGTAGTTAATACCCACCATCTTTTCTATATTAGAATCAGCACCAATTTATTTAATAATACATACAGTAATCTAAAAAAAGTCTAATCTACATACAACATTGAACTGAACTTAAGTTTTGTATATATATATATATATATATATATATATATATATATATATATATATATATATATATATATATATATATATATATATATATATATATATATATATATATATATATATATATATATATATATATATATATATATATATATATATATATATATATATATATATATATATATATATATATATATATATATATATATATATATATATATATATAAAACATTTCACCGACAAGTGTAATACACTATATTAGTCTTCCAGGAGACAGGGTTCATAAGAAAAGGCAGAGTCACACTAGCGTGTTAATTTTACAAGAGCCAAAAGAATGACATGCGAGAAGTGTATCCCAATGTTGCATTTATGTTCCAAAGATCATCTTAATTCCCCCCATCATAAAATATGAGGGGTATATGTTACCTCTGTCCATCTATCAATAAAAAGAAATTGTTGATTCTGTTCAATACCTTGAGAAAAGTTATGAGAATGGAAGTGAGTCAGGTGTGTAGCTTCACATCACGAATATACCCTGTGAGAATTATATTATCAATGTATTCAATATCTTACTAAACAATTATGGTCATGTATGTGAAATAATGGCAGGGACACCCATCACCTGTGACTGTTCAGTTTTCTTCTAACGTTTGCACTACTCAAAGGAGTTTCTGTTGCAATCTTCATTAAGATAAAAGTGATTGCTGCAATTTAGGCTACTTAAGGGTATTCTAGAGTTTAGAATACATTAAGGGGGGCTAGTGGTACTACAGAACAGTACAGTCTGTACATGTATTAAAAGCTCTGTAGTGTGTACAGTGAACCCTCACTTTACGCGGTTAATTCAACCCACGGCGGCCCGCGTAAAGTGAGAAACGCGTAAAGTGAACAACATAACATATGGGATTAATTGAAATAGAGACCGGGCCGACCCCCAAACTCCACTTTTTCAGACACAATACCTACGTTGTAGTAAAAATAACTTCTTAATTTTATGATGGTATGCACACACAATTAATAATTAAGAGAAATATCAATAATATTATGTTTTTTAACACTTACATTAGTAGAAAAGATGGCTGGGCACACGGGGATGGGGGTTGGTTCCGAGGCAGAGGGCAGATTATTGGCCCTCACCTGTATCACTTGTATCAATTGTATCACTATCCACCACAGAGGCTTGCAGGGCCTCTTTGTCAAACCCCTCAAAGTCCATATAAGTCCATATCCTCACTATCATTATCACTATCACTGACTTGGGCCGGCTGTGGTGGGTGGCTGGTGAAGAACTCGGTAATGTTTTGATGACTGGGCGACCTTGTGCACACCCTGCTCGCGCTGCTCTCCGCGTAAAAGGGTACACACACCGCGAAAAGTGAGCATTCCGGTTTCGGCAGGGTACCGCGTAAACGTGGAAACGCGTAAAGTGGGACCGCGTAAACCAAGGGTTGACTGTATACTATGTTGCTGTGCCCAGCAGGTTGATGAAAAAACAACTCATTGCTGGACACAAAAGATAAATGTGTTTGTACAATTCAGTACTGTACATTTTGTTTTTCTGACTGCACATCAAGTGTGCTATTAATATAATTTTTACCTGTGTATAAAATGAGAAGAAAATTCATAAAATAAAAAGATTTATACGAAAAAAGAGGTAAATATGAATAGAAGTGTGTGGCTGACAATGATGAGCAAGGCTTTCAAATTCAGGATTTTTACCTGCTCAATGACTATTTTCGGAATAATGAAATTAGAGACGACATCCTCCTCCAGCAAGTTGTGTGTGTTTCCTTCGTCAGTGTTGTCATCATTGCCATCATCTCTGCTCTTTACTGATGACTGGGAAGGTTTTCTTGGTGCCCCCTGCTGAAGGATTTAACAAAAATGGAAAACTAAAGGGATCAATAACCGAGAAAAAAAAAGTAGGGGGTTTAATAAATTTCTAAACAAAAATAAAATTTACAGAGAAAGAAAATCAAATACCCTGTACCTGTACAGGTACTATAAAAAAGTCATGTCTAGGGGGAAGAGTAGGGCATTGTGCACTGGTGATACATAAGACCCACAGAGCCCAGGGTTGTAAATCAAAACTTTGTTATAAATAATCAACTGGTTATTCTATGTTAGTATCTACATTATTATTAGTAATCCACTGCATTCCCCACATAATAAACACATTTCACATAAAGGTTTCACTTACACATACAGATTGCAAAAGTTCATCCATGGCTGTTTCAGAAAGATATTTCATTCATTTGATGCTGGGTTTTAGGGACAGTGACCTATGCAGGGTTGTTTGGCCAGGCATCCATTATTGCTCTAAGGCCAATCAAGTAAGTGGTGTCTTGTTTGAATTTACAATGATAACATCTAACTAAAGCTGCTGATGTAGACCAGATGTACTCACAGAGAGGCTTCATAAGTTGTTTCTACATTTATCAACAGTTTTCACACACAACATGGTTCTTTGTTGGCCATGTTTTCTAAGGGTATCAGTTCTAGTGGATTTTTTCTTTAAAGAGTATACTGTACTGTACAGTACTACATAATAAAAGTGCCTTGCTACAATCACTTAAAGATTCAAACTCTGAGGAGGTTATAGCCAGCTAATTCTTCATTATTTTGTCCACATTTTCTAGTACAGTGTACTTTTTTACCATATATCTTTAATAGATTAAACCAATGAACTAGGTGTTTTTATGTCTACATACAGTCTTCAACACACACACACACACACACACACAAGAATGTTCCAAGAATATTTCTTTAAGTAAATCTCTCTCATTTACAATGGCTTTAAACTCATTAATTTGCTTCTTTTATAATTATCTTCACTCACATACATTACAGTATAAACATCACATAGTTTGCACAAGAGATAAAATTTTTAGTCCTTTAGTGTAGTACATTTGAGCACAGTATATATAATACAGTCTTACTGCATTATCCTTCCAATTGGTCAATGACATCTTACAATTTAATCTTTTTCTTTCTTGATCACTTATTTATTGTACCCTAACATCCTCATCTCCCACCTTGTCTTGTTTAAGTCCATCACACACTTTCCTAATCCTTCACAATAATAGACCCTCTAATTACGTTGCAGGGTTAACAGGAGACTTCACATTCATTCAAATGCTTCAAAGTAGCAATTATTAAACTGTATTACTGTACTGGACCGCAACCATATTTTCTCCATCCATAAGGTTAACTCATCCTTTATAATTTTTAACTATGATTCTCTCATTGTTCCCCTAATATGCAATGGATCCATCATCTATAACACTTTCCAAATTACCAGTAAGTTAAATCCATCCATCCAACATGAGCTCTTGACATCCAATAAAATGCAGCTTCACCTCCACTTTATACTATCCTATCCATTCCACACTCCCATTTTGAGAAACAAAACTCTCTTTGTCTCCTGCTATTTACCATCATCAACTCCTTTCTATTTCCCCTGATCTCTCTATACATTTAGTTCAGCTGTATCAATACATGCATGTCTTTATACCTTAACTCCACCATTAACTCGTAATAAATTTCACTCTGACTTACAGGGATTACATCTGTCCTTACCAGGAATCTGCTATCCTTGTCATCCAATCTCTCCTTCACCTACACATCTACAACTCACTTTTTAATTTTTATAGTTTGTTAATCTATCAGAAGCTGTCTTGAAGTATTCCTATGCACTGTACTTTTATTTTGCTTATATCTTTCTTCCTCAAAGTCTGTTATTAAAGATCTCATATACTTCACTATTACACATCCATTGTTTACAATTTCTGAAAAAATCAACAAACGTATTTTTTTCAAAAATACAATTTATAGATCTTCAATCCACTGAGCTTTTTCTCTCCCATATTCTAACTTTACATGCAAATCTTCTTCTACAGGTACAGTACCCTCAAATTCATGTGCCTTTACAACACTTCAACCAACATCTCATTCTTCTTCATACCTACATATGTGCAGTACACTATATTTGCTGGCTTATAGAAAGCACATTTTTCTAAGACATTTTGTCAAAAAATTACCTCTGTGTTTAATGTGCCAGTATTTCCAATATTGTTGAGAGTGGTTTGTGTTTTTAAGTTTGTTTATTCTTGATCACTATACAAGACCTGCTATCTCAGGGAATAATATAAAATACAGTACTGTACTGAAAACCAAGCAGAATTATCATAAAAGGCAAAATTGTTGCAGCGCAAAATAACGCACCTTCCATAAATTAGCTTAATGACAGAGGCAAACTCTCATCATCTCGTTGTACCTCCTTTACCAGCATTCATAAACCATACCACCTGCCTTTATTATACAGTGTTGCTAAACAATTGTGCTAACTTCAAGCATCATATGTATCTACAGTAGATGATCATTTTACCATGCTTGAGGAGCAGTTCACTTGCCCTAATCTTGGTTGGGGTCCCCCTCCACCAAGGAGAAAAACTTGATATAATGAGAAAGGGTCGTGTACTATCATCACCGCTATCATTCTATTCCTGCTTGTTTAGTGGCTAACTATAATACCTTTCAGGCATATAATTCAATAAATGTCTGTTTGTCAGGGTGTGGAGTGGTGGTGTTAACATCATGACTGGCTACCATCATCATCCTGTGAGCTGTGTTGCCACATTTGTCATCTTATGTATCTCTAAAATAGCTAATTAAAATAGTGTAATTAAAAAATATAAAATTAATTTTTGAAAAACTGATACGTGCATGACTAATGTTAATTTGTCAAGCTAACCTGTATAAAGCAATCTATTACATTAGAGTGTGTTTGGTTCCAGACTTAACAGCTGACTCACCTTCTGTGTGGCCATCTGGCGGGTGACAACAGCGCACAGAATGTAAGGTGATCAAACTCACATACTCAAGGTCGAAACTTAAGATTACTGTACAGTACATACAGTACAGTACTTTTAATTCTGAAAATGTATGCTTTTGAGTTTTAGATTGAGACTTATTTAGTTACATTAGCAGACATTTTTAACATTGCTTCAACATGTTTTGTTTAATACTAAATGCACTGTACTAGAGGGAATATTATCAAAGAACATGATATAGGGAAGTTTATCGAGTCAAATCATACAATAAGTAATAATCGAACTTAACTTGTAACCTATAAAATCATCATATAATAAATAACATTAATCTACAATATGAAAGCAAGTAGCCAAGATCTGCATATGGCAATGGACAGAGAGACACGGAGTACAGTTGCTACCAACCATCGTTTCCAACCTCAACCCACCTATCCCTGCACGCACGGTGGCAGGAAATTTTAAAATTAATTTTCTTTCAAACGCGGTTAAGGCGTGTATGATGTGGTTAAATAATAGTATCTGTTGTATGTACTGTATTGTATTTACATGCACAAAATATGTTTTCCCCTAAAAACTTTAAAATGTCTGGTTCAATAAATATATGAAGTGTACTGAAATTGTTTTTTCCCCTAACAAAATCCTTGTAAAATAATGATGCATCTCGTGCGGCAGTGCATTTCTTATGCCTGCAAATATGGTACATTGGTTCATCTTTGGAAATATAATGGCAACACCGAGACCATATTTTCATTCAGACAGAAGTAACAAAGCATCATTTTCCTGATCTTCTCAGTATCTCTCTCTCTTGACTTTAACTTCATCTGCATTCATGTTTCTCACTTTACACACTTCACCCTCTGTTACTGAGACACAGTTAACAAAGACTTCCAATAAGTTTCACTTCATCTCCTAATTACTACAACTTATGACTGACCAATTCTTCCTCTTCCACATCTTTATTTGAAAACCTACAAGTGACCAATTTTCCTCCACATTTAATTTACTGGTACTCCTCAAGCACACAACCTAGCCTATGATCTGTCTCCCTTCTGTTCATGCTTTCAGCTATCATTATCACACCATCTAATTACAATATAAATGTCAACTCACCCACTCTTGCCAACTCATTTATTCTCATTCAGATTTACCATATATATCTATTATTCTTAGCAATATACCTTCCCACAATTGTTCCCACTACTTCACACTTTCATAATCAATATTCCACAAATAAAAACAAAACCTGAGAAATGCCAGATGATTAATAAGCATGAGGCGACAGGACATGATTGTATGAAAACAAATGCCATAAACATTTTTATTTTTTATAATGACAATTCTTGAAATATATAAAATATGAAATACACATTCACATGATGATTACACATTCACATGATGGCCACACAATAAAAATGGCAAATAAAAAGAAAGAAAATCACATGGAGATGTACGAAATGCATTATCGCAGAAATATCACAGGCTTTATAAACAAATAAGACAGATTGACAATTGGTAACAAGAACATTATAGTTACACAGAAAAGATGATGTGTTCTGGGACTTATTTCTTCCCCCAAAATTACTCTCCTTCATTAAGTATTCATTTTCAAAAAAAAAATATATTTTCGTTGCATTTTCATTCATTTGTAAACATCTTGTATCATTCAAAATAACTGCATTAGCTCTCAGAGTAAAAGTAATCATCAGCAATATAAATTTTTTGTAAAATTTCACAAATTTACAGTGTACAGTACATCAGTACAGTGGTATCTGGATTAGTTGATAAATTCACATTTCATGGAAGACTTCTTCATAACCGTTAGTTGAGTAATGTCTGCCTCTGGCCTCCATCTTGGAAGGCTCAATTCACGAAGAGACTGTGAATGGCTCGATGACTGGATCCTTAACTGGCACTCTTCATCACAGGTTCATGGCATCGGAGATTCCCTCGCCGCAACATACACAATAATTAACTTTTTGTAACAACAGGTACAGGACTAGCTCATCAATGTAAATGTCTCTTGAATAACTGGTGCTCATGAGAGAGCACCACTACTTCATATCCAAAGCTACTAACACTGATCTTCATATTTTGACTACAACAGCCAACTCCAAAATTCCTGAAGATGAAACATATTGGAAGCAGAGCTTCTGGTTGTTAGACCCTTTCCCCGGTGTGATGTTGATCTTGTTGCAGCTGACGTTGTTAAACCCACAGCTGAGGACCCTTGACTGTTGGTGTGTGGTGCTCTTCTTCAGTGTCGGAGCCCTGGTACGCCTCATTTATCGATGCCTACAAATCCAGTTTATACCCTTCAGTCCAGTGTGCTATGTTCTATACACGAGTCCCATCACCAAGTTAGCAGCCCGGGTTAATGTTTTGTGCGCAAGTGTTAAGCCTCTGAAATACCACAACTGGTCTACGTTCATGCCAGAGTCAGATGAGAGTGCTGTTTAGTCAAGTTAACACCGATTCCAGCGAAAGAATATGTTTTATAGACAAGTAATACAAATGACCACCACCAGATTTTAAAGAAGATTTTCAAAGGTTGCCTTGCAATATGGTAAAAATATATTCATGCATTTGTATTGCCATAAAGTATCCAGTAGGAAGATTTCCATAAACAGTACCTTTATTTACGCCAATCATAATACATTACAAGAAATATCAAGAGCATAGTAATGACGTACAGTAGAAACTGAAACATTTAACTCTACTTACCTTTACAATTCAATGGACATTATGCTACAAATGTACAGTTTGAGAATTTATTGTCTACTGTATATATTTACATATTTACAATAACTATATTACAAAATATACCTGTAATTCATCTAAGTAACACACAAAGCAAGTACCTGTACAGCACAACCATGCAAGCATGCACTAAAATACTCATGTTCAAGTACATTTTAATTTTCATTTGAGGGACTTTTGAACTTCAAAACTGATAAAAACAATACATTCTCAAATAGACTAATGCAAACAACTACTGTATACAGTGAAGTTCAGAAGTGACTCAAAACAATGAAATATGTCACACGAGTTAAACCAGGAGACACTGTTTCATACAAAAACACACTGTGTAAACTAGCGTACAGTATTACAGTCAATTAAGAAACAGCGTTGGAGGTAAGCTATTATAATTTTTTGCAAGGTTATGAAATTAAGTGCAAAGTTACTCAAGTAAGTCTGTCTTCTTGAAACCAACAGTAATACGATTAAAATTAGGAACTTATTACCCTTTACATGAAAGTGACTTTATTGGAAAAAAATAAATAAAAGAGGAAAAGCAAATACTGATGACAGGATCAGGAGAATAAACAAATTGAGGAAAAAAGGCAGAGTAAGGAATGGAGTGGGGATGAGGTTGGGAATGAGGTGAGGTATGGAATGAGGGTGTGGTATGGAGTGGGGATGAGGTATGAGGAAAATGTAGCAAATAGACACAAGTAAAAAATAAAATATAAAACAGGACTGAAAAGAGACATAATGAAGAATGAATAAAACCAAGGCAAGAAATAAACACAAAGAGAAGAGCACTGTACAATAGAAAGCAAATAAAGAGAGAGTATAATATATATATATATATATATATATATATATATATATATATATATATATATATATATATATATATATATATATATATATATATATATATATATATATATATATATATATGGGGGATGATAAGTGTAAAGGAAACTGTAAAAGTGAAAGGGAAGTAAGGAAAATGTGAGAAACAAAAGAAGAGATAGGGAGAGAATGAGATATACAGGGAGATATGAAAACACATACCAGAGTAAGAATACAAGAGTAAGGAGATGATAAGAGTAAGTGAAAGAGTCAGAGATAGTGTGGCTGAACATTTTAAATAAAAGATTGAAATACATAATATAAATAAATATTTAGCATAAAATTGAACAAAGAGCTTTCTATCACCAACAGCTGCTTTACTTTTTTCTACAGACTAACAGAAAAAAATACCACAAAAACTAATTAAGTTATTTTAGTACACAAAAGGTCCATAAACAGTGCTCTACTCCAAGTATGTTCATCTACTGTACTTTAGAGATGACTGACTCAAAAAATGAAGGTGTATAAATTAGGGATGCACCGGAACTTAGTTCCAGCTGGTTACTTCCGGCCAGAACCTCGATTTTTATGAAGTTCAAGTTCCGACCAAAATTTCGGTAAAATAACCGGCCGGAATCGGAACTTTTTAGAAAAGTACTGATTATTATTTCATAAATTAAAATTTAATTAACTGATAATGCTTCTTATTTCTAATGGATAATGCAGCATAAAAAAGTCCTGAATGGTTAATGAACATTGATGTATGTGTAGCAAAACAATTATTACATCTTAAATCATATTTACTGTACTCTCATGTACAGTACAAGACACTGAGTGTGGGGCAGTTGGCTGAGCTGACTGAGTGTTAAACCAGACAGGTACTGGATGCATAATTCTGATGGCCCTGTGTCCTGACACAAATATGACGTCAAGGACTAAGGACATACCACAGAACCAGTTGCAGTTATTTACTGTAAGTTTCTTTACAAACTGTCTGTTCTGTTGTGTATTTATAAATAAGGAGAACTAATATTTCAAACTTAATATAAACATGCAGTGAAGAGATCATTAATACAAGGTTGCATGTTATCTAGCAAGTATGTGTGATTCACTTTTGAACAACACTGTATCCCTGTTCAGGAGCCACTGCATTAAGTCAACAATAAATAACCTAAGCCTTCATATTTGTAGGTTGAGTTTGACAAATGCCTTTAAGAATTTAACATAGAACAATACTGTAATATTATACAGTACTAGGATTTCTGAATATCATGTACAGAGGTGTACTTAAAACAACTTGAACAAAATTTTAATAGCTATAACAGCCTAAGTTCCGGTTCCGGCTGGAACATTTTAAAGTTCCGACACATTCCGCTTCTGGCCGGAACTTGATATTATGAATCCAGTGCATCCTTATTATTGTATAAATAACATGAGTGTATAGGAGCTGCTCCACTGTCAGGCATTTTAACTTACATTGCCATATGGCATAAAATACTGTACTGAATAACATTCTATAAGATTAACTAATAAATACCCGGTAACAAAATAAATTATACAAAATTAATGCTAGTAGGAAAACCATTTTAAGTAACAATAAATAAATTTCAATTAATATCACAGATGAATTTTTGTTTGTTTAACCTTTGGGTAACCCTTAGTTAATATAGAAATGCATCACCATGCAATGATACAATATCCCTGAAATCATCTTGACTTTCCAGTTTATCTGGAGCAGCTCCTAGCATAATTGCATCTATTTTCTCAGATTGACCTGGAGAAAAAAAGCATTGCAAACATCGTCTGGAGCCTGAATTGTTGCAGTAGCAGTCGAGAGAGGGAGACATTATGTCGACGTTACGTACCTGCTTGGCTAGTAGGTTTTGCTTGGTCAGTTTACGCACTGTACTGTGGGAATCTTCGCGATCCTTGTTACTGCTGTGGGTGGAAGACGCCCGACTTGATCCTACAGAGAGGTCATGTTGGGTCAGAAAAAGTCCTCAAAAGTCAAGCTAGTGATTTAAGTCATTAATTAATTTTAAAAATTCAGGCTTTAGTTAGTGGTGACTAAAGTAATCAGTATTAAGATAAATTAGTTGAGGTTATGCCAGAATTTTCCCTTCATCAGAGTCATTATGACATCCTCATATAACAGTCTTAAAGTCAGGTGTCTTGTGTCTTTACAGTTTTAAATCAACTGAAAATTTTAAAAAATCTAAACCAAAACTCATTATATTGAGATTAAAGCTGAAACCATGTGACCCATAAAAATTGCAATGCCTGAAAAAGATGACATGATTGCAGCAATTACATAAAAATCCAAGCCACAATTTTTAATTTATCAATTATTATCTTATTTAATTAAATGAAATGACAAATAAAATCAGCTTTGCATGGTTAATAATTTACAATAATCTTTTAGGATGGTTAGCTCAGCAAGTAACAAGCCAAGAACACCAAGACCGTGCAACAAAGAAGTGCAAAGTGAAAAGTTAACAGGGCATGGAAAGAGAAGGAAGCATTGAGGTCCCTTTATTTTACAATTACTGTACAGATAACAGGAAAACTACAGAAACTGGGGATAAGAATAAAACATATAAAAGTAGGAAAATTTAAATTACATTAAAGAGAAGATAGTCCTATCTACAGAAATATCTACATTAAGTGCAGACTAGAAAACACTGGAGGTATCACTACAAATATTTTAAATCTAGGACATAATGTAGCCAAGGCGTAGGATACTAAAGTAATTATTTGGACTGCATAATACTTTCGGTTTATTATTAGATCACCGAGCTAATGATGCATGATTACAAAGGTGATGAGGTTTACAAATAGAGTACTGTACAAAATGGAGGTTTGGCTCATACACAAAGCAATAAAAAGTTTATATATGTACATTCTCATTATAACTAAACACACCTCTGTATATGAGAGAATGTTATTAGGCAATTAGTTTTCAAAAGCAGTGATTACATGGCAAAATATATATATAAATATATATATATATATATTTATATATATATATATATATATATATATATATATATATATATATATATATATATATATATATATATATATATATATATATATATATATATATATATATATATATATATACCCTGCATATATATATTGCATTAAATTACAGAAGAAAACAAAGCATACTATTTTCAGTTAATTACAGGTTTAAAGATCTTTTTTAAGTTGATCATGACTATTGCTCGAGATACTACAAACTAGTTCAGTTTTGATCACCATTTTATCTATCATAGTGTTGTGTGTGAAAGTGATATTGTATTTTATGTTTATGATATTTACATCAGTGACCAACATTATTCCTAATTTAACTTGTAATTTTTTATCAAGGTTTATGTAATTTGCTATTACTATAAAGAAGAGAAGCAACTCTGAGGTATGAAGCTGTCTTCCTCTTTTGGGCTGCTGGTGAAATTTATATAAGCATCTACTACATCACTAAACCTCAAGTTGGATATAATCTTCAAACTAAATGAAGGAAATATTAGTCAAGGTACACTCGCATGTCAGCCATAACTGACAAATGTAAAGCGAGATAAACGACGAGGAAAAGCACCCTTTGTGGAAGACACACCATGGCACAAATATCAAACATTTTACAATAATAATAATTAGAAGAAAACATATGATTGTTGCAACTTTTGTCTTGCTTGATATTTTACAAACAACCCCCAAGAGATTTTGTTACTCCTGATTATTTAACTGATCATGACAGCAGAACTTCTAGCTGTCCTTGCTTCCATGCTGTGAAAACCCTGATTTTATTAATGAAGAATAAACAAATAGAATATAGGCCACAAAGTTAAAATGGATCTTTAAGGTAACACTAATCATATGGCCACAGTGTGAATGATTGCTTCAAAACAAAACCCATGAACAATGTCAATAACTATTGATTAGGGAAAAACCTTTCTTAATAGAAGGAAGGATGACTGTGGATACTTTAAGTGACAAGAACACAAGGAACTAAATCACACAAAGACTGGCTGGAGAGATTATATGTGTCTGATATTAGTTTTGGGTTTATAATGAATCTTCTATGGCATTTTAAAATTAAAGACCATGCTAAAAACCATTTAACTGGCTAGTAGCTAATTAACTGAAATGTGACAAAGAAAAACAAGTTGAAATTTCAATACCTGAAGGTTCCACACAACTAATAAGAAGAACACTGGCTATAAAACCAATGAATCAATTAGCAAGTCTTGTATTTCTATGTTAGCATATTGGTGGCCATGGATTCTACTGATGTAAACAGTGTGGTGTGAGGGCTGAACTCCCTGTTATTTATTTAGTCCATAATTATATCTGTAGGTCACATATTATTTCTTATATTTTTTACTGAAAAATTTATCCACTTTTAAGTGAAAGCTGGTGGTAAGTCATGATCAAGACAGCAATGAAGAAGAAAAATCTGAACAACACTAATCTCCATACAAGTGCAAAATGAATAATGTTAGAGTTTGATGCATCCCAAGCAAGCTATAAGCAAACATCATAATATGACTACACTTGCCACTGCTTTAATATTTGAGAAAGGGTTCGATGACAGCAAAATAGGAAAGCCAAGTGAAGTTCCTTTATAAAGACCCATGCTTACATCTAATTAAGATAGATTCGAAGAACAACTTGTGTTGGCTTTTTTTTATTTAGAGTACAGTATAGTGATGGAAAATGAGAAACCATAGCCAAGCATCTAGAAACCTCTGAATCATAAATGTTATAAGTCTGTTGGCATAACATTTTTCATACTGAGGTTAATATATTTTAATCAGGAATCTAACTTTTGCCCTGTGGAGATAACCCTCAATCTCAGAAATGTTGATATACGTACTGTACATAAACAGTACCATACTTGATAAACTTTGTTAAGTGCAACAGTAATGCCCATTTTTTATCATCTACGACTCAACAGTATGGTTTTACAGTACAAATATGTCTTCAACAAAGCTAATGTATAATTTTCATAGTAATTGGTGTAAAGCAACTACAACTAATTAAAAATAATGCTGTACTGACTGTATCTTAGATTTGCTTATTTTCCACATGTCTATGCTGCTATGGGGTTATGGAGCTGAGTAACAATTTAAAGATAAGAGAAAAGGAAATGTTATTTTTCAACTCCATTCCAAGCTTAGGTAAAATCCCCAAGGACTTAAGCCATGATATAGAACTTACTGCTTAAAGCACAGGAAGCAGCAGGTTTCCAAAACTTATAGATGTGTTTGGAAGTTTATTGAGAGAAGAAATTTTATGGAAAATTTGGATGATAAGAAACACTGCACTGACTTTTGGATGACAGGGTGCTACATAAAAAACTAAAGCATCTTAATGAGCTCATATTACTGCATAAAACTTCCTCCATGTCTATTATGAAGTAGAATATATATTAAAGAGAGCTGAATATAACAATAACAGAATAGCACACAAACATAAAGTAAGACAAATAATTATAGTGTATGTACATATGACACAACAAGAGACAGATGTGGTTAGGAACACACATTGAAAACAAAGCACTCACACACAGGGAATCTTGGTAGCTCATATTAGAAAAATAAATCTACCCAATAGTGCAAATGGTGCCATTTAAGGACTACAGTGGTGAAGGCACTAGCCTAAAGTTATCTTGGTAATATTACCCCGTCGCATTAGAGACCCTTCCATGCTGCTGGCCAGACTACTTGGTTCTGCGCTGTCATCCAGCATATCTTCAGGAACATGACTACCACACTGCTGCATCTGGGGATCTGCAAATCTCACATTTTTACTGATGAAATCCTCATCAGCTTCCCGGTCCCGGAGTCCAAGTACCAGCATACGGAACAATTCCCAGTCACCAAAGTTCATGTTCAACACCTGTGAATGTATAGTATGTGCAAAATACAATAACACAAGTATATTATCAAACCAAGAATCACAGCCAACCCACACAAGTGTGGAAAGTGCCTGTAAAACAGGGATGATGATGAAGAAGACTATGGTAAATGAAAAATTCAAGAACTGTGAAAGCTGTATTTGATATAAAAAAAAGAGTAAGAAAAGGGTCAAAGTGTTTACATACACATTATATCATATCAGAATTAAATTATAACCAGAAAAATGTATCAGGCACAAAATCAAAATTTCTTTACATACCTTCTTAAGATCATCTAAATCACAGTGTAAAAGGACTTTGCCATTAATATTGTGTTCAACAAAGCGATCCTTGTAATTTGATATCATGGTTGCTGATACACCTTCCACTTTACTGAAGATATCAAACAAGCTCTCAATGGTTAATGTTGACAGCTTTTTATCAGCTGCCTCAGGCTGCAAAGATAAACAGTACAGTCACAAATATATACTAATATGGCAAAGTTTATAACTATTCAGTTAAGTCATACATACTGTGAGAATGGGTGCTTTTAGTGTCAAGGATAAAACAAGCCATCTTAAGATAACATAAAGACTTCTTCAACACCGCTATGACAAGTTCTCTGGAAACTATGAAACAGAAAACAAATCTAGACAATTTTTATACCAACTTTCAGGATCACTACTAACCGGCAAGCTTGTGTGACCAGAGGTGATAGCTGCGTTGACATTCATGGGGACAGTGTTGAAATCCACTGATGGAGCTGATTGTATAGAAGGCATGAAAGTTGGTCCATAGCCCCATAACATTGGATTCATTGGAGGCAAGCTGGCAGTTGAATTCTTTTGGTTACCTCTTAATGGCTGCTGCAACAAAAGACATGAAAGTGAGTTTTTGTGATATAGTCCAGAATGCGACGTCTAGCTATATACCTAGGTATGTTAATGCCTAGCAATAACTCGCCAGGCCAACATACAGGCAATTAAAACATCTAATAATTATTTAATACGTAATATATATATATATATATTTTTATATATATATATATATATATATATATATATATATATATATATATATATATATATATATATATATATATATATATATATATATATATATATATATATATATATATATATATATATATATATATATATATATATATATATATATATATATATATATATATATATATATATATATATATATATATATATATATATATATATATATATATATATATATATATATATATATATATATATATATATATATATATATATATATATATATATATATATATATATATATATATATATATATATATATATATATATAAAATATTGCATAGGAATGAAATAAGATCCTGGCTGAACAAATGCACTTTAAATATATAAATATGTGGATATATTTTATTTAGAAAATCATTGTAAATATCCTTTAACCTTTTTAATGTGATAAAGATGAAGAACTGAAAAATATACATAGGGTGCAGGAGTCCACGGAAAATCCAAGGGTGAAAGTACACTGAGAATGTATGGACATACAATAAATGAACAATTGGTAATAAGAAGTTTTATGACAGCCAAATGGTGAATTGGTGAGGGAGAAGCAGCCTTGCCAAGATGGGGCACAGTATACTGTACAGTACAGTAATATATTAATGAATTGTTAAGATTAATGAGTGAATATTTCACCAGCGTACACCAGTGGAGTAACAAGATATTTTATACAATGAAAATTGATAAACAAGAGAAGGTGGATCTATAACAGACAAAGATACTTCATCAACTAAATCAAGATGCAAGAAAGATCTTGGAGTTTATGTTGATTCTAAACTGAAGTTCTTGAATCATTGTAAGAGGAAGGTAAACCTTGCTAATAAGGCTTTTCAAAAGTATAGTACTCCAGGTACACCACCGATTTTCCGGCAACCTTGGTTCCAAAGCCTTACCGGATTATCCGTTTTGCCGGACCAACCGAGGTCAGGTAATAATAATGCAACAATACACCTCTGGCCCACTAATTATACACCTCCTGTATCTCTAAAGAACCATGGACTGCTAGAAATTTAAATTAAACTATGTGATGTTTATACTCAAATTAATTCCTCTATAACAAGGATTCCAGCAATGTAATTTATATTGTGCTAAGTCTAGTCTGTGAAAATGACAGATGTAAAAAAATGAAAATGAAGAATCTGCATTGAGCATAATGAAACAGATGTGATGTGTTCGGGTAATGAGTCTATAATTCCTGTTTCACTCAATAAATTTTGAAGATAAATCTATTTATTCTGAATACAATAAATCCCCGACATAACAGACTAATTTGCGGAAGGCCGATCCGTTAAAGATGAAAGTCCATTATATCTGGATCCGGATTAATAACAGATTCGATCCATTATATACCAACATAGTCCCAAGTGACTGTGATCATTTTACCGTGCTTGAGAGGCGGTTCACATGCAAGGTTAAGCCCTAAGCACGGTTGGGTCCCCCCTCCCGCCCCAGGAGAAAAAATTTATATAAAGAGCTTCTAACGCATCTATATGCGATGGCTGTGTATCACCACCACTCTCATTTTATTCCTGCTTGTTTAGTGGCGAACTATAATGCAGTACCTTTCATGCATAAAACTCAATAAATATCGGTCTGTCAGGGGTGTGGAGTGGTGGACTTGGTTCTTGTGAGCTGAGCTGTGTGGCACTTGAGACACTTGGAATTTTGGTATTACAAATAGAATATTTTGTGTGGCAACCAAGGCATGGTAACTGAGTACAGTATGTTTGTTGACTGGAATAATAAGGGACAATCTGAACAGAAAATGAACGAATAATCAAACACAAAAATTTGGAAATTGTCGGATACTGTACCGTAATATCAAAATACTCCGAACTGGGTTACTTTGGATTTTTTGGTAATTTGTGTAATCGAGTCCATAAATTTTTTACCATAATGGACTTAAGAGTCCATTATGATCTGAGTCTGTAATATAAGAACCTAGTCCGAACAGGTCACAGGATCCATTAAAACTGACGTCTGTTACAGACGGTGTCCGTTATATGTATCGGGGGTTTACTGTTTACTGTACTGCAGAGTATAATTCTCATTTAAGTTAAACAGTAATTATGAGATCATTTAACTAGTGCAAAATAAAGTACAAAACTATAAATTTTTCACAATATACAGTAATAATTAAATTCCTACTTAACAAAGCCATAACAGTAGCCATACCAATCTTCTTGCAGTGGAGGATGATTTACTCTGAGCATCATACGGTTGGAACGTCCAGGGGTTGGGTGTGTGTGCAGTAAATTGTGGGCCATTGTCGTCAAACTGTGGCTGATCTTCTTTGATTACCTGGAGAATAGAGATAAAGGTACATCAGCCACTAATACATACATCAATGCCATCATTGGTAATCTGTACTAATAGAGCTAAGTGTATAAAGAAAGTACTATACTGCAATGACTGTGTCTCTATTGTACAAATATTTAACCTGATAGAGTGCAGGACTGTAAAAAGATAGTCTTATGATATAATGTGCCACCATTACTGAAGAAACTAACTAAAAAATAAACAGTAACCCGCATCCATAATCCATACACACATATACACACATGCAAAAACAGTAGCACTCACACACATTTACACATAAACTGCACAATACTATGAGAAGATATATTCTCAAAATGTAAATATTTTAGTAAACAGAAGGAGAGGAACTTAAAGTAATACTAGTACTCTCATCCTCTCAACATTACCTTTCTAATGAAGGGGTCCAGGTTTATGGTGAAGGGAAGGAACACTTTGAGGTCTGAGATGTGTAAAGAGCTTTTGTGCATTGATAAGAAAATTTCAAACTTCTTCTCTTCTTTGTCCATTTCTAATAGAGGCTCTATGTCTTTTGATACTGGCACCTGACTCTTGATTCTGTTAGAGAAAAAAAAAAGACAAATATAATTAGCAAACACTGACCTGATTCCACTGAAAGGATAGAAACTTTACAGTAAATATGAAAACAAAGCATTTACTGTATACTGTACGTATATTAAAGAAAAATAATTCACTCTTCAAAGAACAAAGAAGGTTCCTCTTATCAATTTCTTGAAATATTCTATGTAATGATAAATGGAATAATAACTGATCTATTTTAGCTAAACAGTTACTAAATGTGGGGCAACATCATTAACCTGGGGAGCCCTCACAGGTCTTTGTGGGGATTTTATGTTTATGATCAATCCTTTTAAGTTCAGAATACAGCTGAAGATACAAGAGGACTAAAAAACTTCATAATAACTGTGCATACTTTTCAAAGAGATCTTTCAAAGAGGTTTTATCTTCCAATGTATCTTCATTGGCTTCATAGTAGAGGATAAGCCAGGAAGCACGGTAAGGCCACTGTTCTGTGATGTTGATCCACGACGCTAAATGGTACCAATTGAAGTCTATGTGGAATGCTTTTAATAATCTGTTGGAGGAAACAGAGCAAAAGTTGTAAGAGAAATACGGTACATGTACTCATTACATACAATAATAATTTAAATAATACAGGGTACACATAAGTAAGAAAACAAAACTTTATACATCTTGAAGCAGACACTAATTGATGCCTTTCTTTAATTTCAGGTTCTCTCCTTACACATCCATAACCTCATCCTACACACAGCCAAAGGCATCACTGTTTGAACTTTCTTCAGTAGTTAATTAGGTAGGCAGACCCTTAAAGAGTTACAATAGTCAACCAGACACAAAATAAGTTAATGTAGTAGTTTCATAAGACACTGTCTATCCAAAAACTGTGTACTGTTACTGAAAGTTGCAACTCTTAACTTCTGAATTTAAATGCTCTTTAAAATTCTGTTTCAAGTCAACGTACACTCCAAGATTATGAACATAATTGACAGGACTGAGTTGTACTTCCCCCAAGGTTTACAGTAATCATTTACTTGCACTTACTCATATGAATTATTCTGGTACTGTACATGATATACATAAAAGTGCAAATGTATGTGTGGATAAGTAAAAGCATGTATAGTACGTATAGGGAAGAGACAAAAAATATAATAAATGTGTACAAATCTCACAAAGCTAATCATTCACAACAAAAATAAAATATTCCAGTATGGATCTGTTTAGGGATAAAATAAAGATTCTACAACATAGATGTATGGTGAACTAAAGAAGATTCCCTTAAACAGACATTGTAATAATGTGGGAGCTAGTTCTATAGAGAGACAATACACTGCATAAAACAATGAAAGTAGTAAAACTGAAGTGCTATACAGTATATGTGCTTACCTTCCAGTGATATATACAACATTCATTAATCTTCTCATTGAGCGAGGATTGATGTCACTAAAATAGTCATCTGTCAATAAAACCTGAAAGAGAGAGTGTATCAGGCACTTTATTATAATACTGCTCATCCCAAGATTTTTTTTTAATGACAAACTATTACAGTATACCTAACCTATACCTATATATGATATATGAAATAATAAATGTTTAAATAGCTATGATTTTTCTTTCATTAGCAGTTCTGTTAAAAAAAAAAATACAGTATGGTATATAAAATTTAATGAAATTTTGTTCCATAGATTTCTTCTCTCCTCACTTTTTCTTACTCTAATCTATTGAGGAAGACCACATGATTATTGGGATTTCCCTTCCCTTACAGCAATCCATGAGAAAAATATGAGCACAGTAGTTGTTTTTTAAAGTAATAAATTACCAATGGTTATCTACCTTGGTGAGGTCTTGTGCTCCTCCGACACGGTTCAAATTAGATCCTATGCTGGAGGCGATGGAATCAGAGGGCTTGAGAGTCCTACGGCTGCTTTTGCTGTTGTTGCGTCTCAGGTTCTGAGATGAACTCAGACCACTTTCAGAAGACATTCGACGGTTTGCAGGAATCTGTCAAGAGAGCAAAATTAACTAAACCTAACTGTTTGTAATATGAAAGGCTGCAGTCTTGGGAAAGAAATATACATACGGTATACTGTACGGTATTTATATCCAAAATTGAATTATACTACAGGTACTAGCATTATGCTAATTATAGTGGAAGACTTAGTTTGAAATGTTAGCAAAGAGCAATTATTTGTTGAGTGTCATTATTGGTAGTGTAATCTACTATCAACTAACCATTCACGCAGGCAATGACAACAAGCAAAGTACTGTAGTTGCATAATAATCATACCCAGGAGGTGAATATTACTAAGACCTGACCCAGCTAGTGTTGTCTATGTTACTGTATAAGCTTTCTAAAGTAGAAATGTTGGAATTAAACAAAACTGTGTAGTGATCCATAGTGAATAATAATAAAATGTTAATGTATGACGGAGCAAAGCAAAAGATGTGAAGTTTTAGTTTAAAGGAGCAGAAATAAATACTGTAATGTATAGAGTAAATAGATGAAGGCAGATATCTCTATAGTTTCTTCAGTACTGCACTGTTTATGTAAAAGTAAGCATGTAGAGTTCTAAGAAAATCTTTAATACAGTATGTATAAAAGAATAAGAATAAAGTACAGTACATATATGCTTTACACAGAAGAACAAAAAATATTAATAAAAGTGAACATCAAAGGAAGTATGAGTAATGAAGCTTGAATAAATAAATTGTAAATACTAATCAATATTTACACCAACTCAGCAAGACAATACAGGCACAAAAAGCAGTAGCATCAATTGGTTATACAGCTGTTAAAACATTCAGGACACCACAATCTTTGAACAGTACTGCTTATTTTACTACAAGACAACGACACCCAGCCATAGGATGCTTCCTCTATTACTTGCCCAGTTAACACATCTGATACACAAACTTGGGAAGAAAGGGAGCTACTGTACTGTATAATAAAGCTTCATCATATTAGAGGATTTAGAAGAAAGTTAAGTGATACCAACAAGATATCTGAGAAACAGGAAGGCAAAGAGAGCATAGAAAACTTTGATGATAGTGTTAAAATGGTGACAAACGTCTACTGACTGTAAGAAGTGTAAAATATTCTTGATCTGGCCAAAAAATTCCTCTCATAATTAAGAAATTATGAGAAAATAAACCTCTAATATGAAACTTATATTCTTAACACACAAACAGAAAGCTTTATATAAAAAAAAAAAAAAAAATATATATATATATATATATATATATATATATATATATATATATATATATATATATATATATATATATATATATATATATATATATATATATATATATATATATATATATATATATATATATATATATAAATACTGTATACTGTATATGAGGACAGATCAAGAGGCACAGAAGAGACAAACAAGAGCTACACAGTGAAAGGTCCATCTTTGAAAACATGCAGTAGAACATAAGTCTAAGGTCATCACCACCCACATTTAACTTACTCTCCAATCTATTTTGTCTTTTTTTTATATCAATACTGATCCCTGAGCTTTGATATTTAATAATGGAATACTAAAAATACCCCTGTGTTCAGTACATTTTAATACTGGAGTCAACAAAATATTTGTGTATCACTTTACATGATACTGAAATTTTTTGCAATAATCTATTGGCCTTTATGAGACATAGGTGTCCAAAAGAACTTTCCAAGCAAAAAATAAATACAACATAAGTTTGGCAAACATTAGCAGGAGCTGTCAAAGATAGACCTAAAGGTTAAGTAACACATATGGAAACCAGCATATCAGCACTGGCCAATGTACTCAAACATCTCACAACATCATAGGCACACTTACTATACAGTAATATGAAGAACAAAAACAGAATATCATTAGGGTATGTAGCTACTGGAATATATATGAGTTCATTGAACAACAGTGCTACAAGCAATTGAGAAATAAAAATACCGTACTTGCAGTGCATACTACCAAAACAATACAAATGGTTAAAATATAAAGGATAGACATAGAAGAAAACTAAACATACAAACAAAGACATAACAATAAATGGGAAATTGACAAAGAGGTCCACATGGGTGAGACACAAAAAAGAGACCTTCCCTGGACGGCACAGAGGTGAGGTACACACACCAACATGGAGGGGTAATGGGGATACTTACAGTGAAATTGCATCCGCTTTCAGTTGATAAACACCGATTTAATGGTATCTGAAGGGATCAAGGGTTTTAAACAAATTCATAAGGGGACACAATACACAAGTCACAAAAACATGAATAAATCAGAGAAAAATTAACACAAAACAAGTGGTCAAGATACACAAATCCTCAAAGCAGCATACTGTATACAGGTAAGGGTGGGCCTAAAATGATCAGGAATGTGTTCTTCCACCAGCTATAGGTCACTTGGTCATTAAAATTACTGTAACTAATTGTTTTTGGTTCAAATAATAAGTACAGGTATTAAATCTAAAATTATTATCATTAAGTCTACAACTCCATGTTACACGTCTAATTGTAACTGTGCAACTGAAGTTACGATGTGTTCATCAATTATTGTCAGTCATCCTTTGAGTGTCAATTAAGAAGAATTTGTCAGCAATTCTTGTACCAATATAGGTACAGTACCAAATCTTCATCATCTGTGTATCATCAACTTGAATTACTTCTCCATAAAGTCTTAAAAGTGTCAACTAAGTCTGTGAGGCATTGCAGGACAAAGTAGATGCAGCAGCATTATACAGTAATACCTGTAATACTGACAAAGAGCATCAGTAATGAACTGATAGATATAGCAAGACTTACATAACAATATAAACCAAGCAGGAATCACATTAACAGTAACTACTCTACTTAGTAAAAACAAGAAAACAAACAAGTTCATCACAAGCACTTATATTCTACGAAGATTAATAATACGAATGGCTATTATTTTGCTTTTAGTAGATAGCTTACAACAAAGAGTAAAGTGTTCACTCTTCAGCCATAGTGCCATCCACAAGGATTAATACCAACAAATACTAAGTAAATTATTGTATGCGAATCAAATCAAAGAAAGTCAACAGGTAACTTACTTTATTTTGTTATTTTTCTTAGATACACTATAGGTACACTATATCCTATACAGTACTTATTAGAACATAAATGCAGTACCCACATTATAACAGTACTGTACTAAAGTTTTCATCAACTGGTAACAACATTATGTATAATAACTGAATGAGCATTAATAAACTTACCATTTGGTAGCACATCAGTTGGCCTCACTTAATCATTAAAGCACTGCTAAGAAAGAATATTTTCTTTGTAACTTTTCTTAAGGTTTTATTCACACTGCAGCCCACTTACACTAGTTGTCTTGTAAATATTCTTACCGTAACTCTCACACTAACCTTCAGAGATTACTGGACTCCATTTCCTCCTCTACTATCATTTTCACTTATTTTTTCACCTTCATCCTAAAATCTTACAATTCAAATTACAGTATATACAAAAGAGCTGAAATGGGTATTGTTTCATCTCAAAACTCTCAAAGTATTACTGTATTCTTAACCTGTAATTAGTACCATTCTTGTTCAAAATCATAATTATCTAAAATACCTAAACGTATTCACAACCTTTAATTTTTATACCATAGTACCATTCTCAAACATGCACTTAATAAAGCTTTCATCTGATAAAATAAATATATAAAGTAGTATAAGACAGACAAAAAATACTTACCCTTAATCACCAACATTCAGTCCCCTATTCTACAACTTACAGTACTGTATACAGAAACAGCAACAAATTCAATAGACCTGAACTACAAACAATCATACCAACCACAATTACACACACCTCCCTATATAAGCCAATTGCTAACTCTATGAAATTTCTAACTTATGGGAAAAGGAAGCCAATATAACTTACATGACTGATACCGCCCATGGCTGATGTTGTAGCAATGCTAACAGAATCTGTTTCCACTTCCAACCATGTGTTTTGTGAACGACCTCTCATTCTCTCTGCCGCCTGTGATATGAAGAAATAAAAATTTTAATTTAAGAAAAACTGTAAACTGTAATGTAATCTAAATATTGTACAGGTACAATATATTTTTGGGGTATATATACAGTACTGTACTATAAAGAATTACTGAAATTTATTTCTTCTTAGTTTGTAACGTTCAGTGTAAAAATAGGATGATAGCATCCTAATGCATGGAACAGTTATTGACCGGTATAGCAGCAACACTGGAATATAATAAACAATTGGTAATAAACAATTACATTATGTTCTTTATAAATTTTCACACATCACAATGTAAAGATAAATAATCTCTCTGTCTCTCACTTTCACACACACACACACACACACATGCACGCACACACACAAATGCAAGCATGCACTCATGTACACACACACACACACGCACATACACACACAAAAACTAACATACCTGTTGTGCTTGCTTCACTTTACGTAGTCCTGAATTTTGAAGGTAGAAGGGCAGGTGGACAATATTCCGGAGGTAATCATGACCACTAATGGATGACTCACTGAACACCCGGTGGACATGCAGCTCTATAGCCTGGTAAGGGAAATTGAGAAGTTTATTTTCAACCATGTCTCAACTGGACATTAATGGAGGCCACAACCCTTCTTCAATAATAAGACACTAATGCTCAGTAAATGCAACCAAGTCACTTAGTTTCTATGCCAAAGTGCACAATATTGATCACTAATATGGTGAGCTCCATTACCAAGGCCATAGTCATCCATCAATTTTGTCAAAGTAGAGTGCTAAAATATTCATAGTTAAATAATTTAACACTTATCAAAAGTTGAACAAAGTACTAATTATGATCTAATGCAGTATAACTTAATTTTAATGCCTTCTGGTAGAGAAAAAAGAATGGATGTCCTTATTAACCTTGATGTATGGCAGTCCACTCACATGACTTAAGAGTACAGAGATGTGCCAGTGAAGTGCTGTGATGGCCTCCATACTCACTTGCTCACAGCTTTTTTAGTGTATGCAGGAGTTAGTTTTTATAATTTGAGGTTATTCTATCTTCTTAATTAGGAACATACACTTACTCTGGTGGCATTAGCTTTTAACTTTAACCAAAATCAGTATTTAATGTTGGTGAGACAATAAATAGTAGTGCTATATGGATGACTGTAAATATATATATATATTTTTTTAATTAATAACTCTGATCATTAATGGTTCATTATTAGCTAACAAACAAGGACTGAAAAGAACAGCAACTACAAGGCTGAGATGGATTCACTGTCAGTGTGCAGGTAATGTGATGCAGACAAAGGGATAAAGTGCTATGAACTTCTATTTAGGAAAATTTCACCATCCAATATAAGGAAACTTTCAATGAAGCCAGGGAAGACATGCATTTGCCTATGGTTTTAATTACTGACACCCCTTAAATGTGCTGGACCTAGCTAACCACAGTTGCTGTATACTGGTGTAAATTAACACTTATACAATTCTATAAACAACTTGGGTCATAAAAAAACAAGACTTATTTATAAACTGCAGTACTGTATAGTAGAAACATCAAAAGCTTATACAGTTCAGTGGTTGGCTAGGATGTGGTTGAAAGAATGAACAACATCCCCAAAGGGATGGCAATGCTTCAATGCAGTTATATTCACTAAAGCCATGTCGTGCACGCCAATGTTTTAACCTGGTATTCTAGAGGCTAAATTCTAACTTGAATAGATCAAATGATCAGTTAAACCATAACTTAGAACTTATCTTTAGATTATCAAGAAGAAATTCCTGTTAAATAATCATGTAAATTTGACTATCATTAAAACTGTATTGTCCAAGATAAGATATTTTCATCTTTAAAACTCCATTTGAAAGATATCCAACAGCAATATGCAATTTTTTTTTAGTATACCTGCATTGTAGAATACTGCAGTATACCATAGAATATTATAACACAGGTATAATCTCTCTAGTTTTTAAACAATATTATACCAAACCCAGGAGATCTAGGTTCCCCTCAAGATAGGAACCCACAAAGGGACACAAACTAGGCCATAATTCTCTAAAATAAAAAGAGGGAATACGGATCATCAAAATTATCTGAATGGCCAAATTAAAACAGAACCATGTCTCAGATTGAAATTAGGTTAATCTGTTCTTGAGAATTTGCATTCACAATATAGATGGATGCATAGAATGAGAACATTTCCAGGTCCTTTCCATTATTTTGTGGAATAAAAAAGTACTATATGATTACGGATCCACAGGTATGGCTGGGATTCACTCATACTGTATTTAGCTCCTTGAGTACTGTGCCTGGTACAGTATATGGCTAACTGATATTACTAATTGCAGTGTTCTGAAAATTAATCATGTCTCCTGTGTAAATTTAGCCTCTTTAATACCACCTACAGTCTACCAATGTAATAACGAGCAGTTGTCATTCAAGCGCAAAATTTTCCTAATAAATTTATGAGGAGGAACTGAACTACAGGCCAAATTTCTACGACATATATACGGACATTCCTGGCAGAGGCGGAGGTCCCCACCACTATGTGTCTAGACAACAAGGGTAAGGTCCGCCAGTGACATTATATATACCATGGGTCTGTGATCCCTCTGTACCTTCTGCTGTCTCGAGGCTACCACGGCCTACAGGCAGCAATAGTGATAAATAAGCCTTGTATTAGGGCTTGTGGGGAAATTAGTCTTATTCTGTACTCTTAGACTATCAGAGATGGAAGAGAGTTGGAATATTTATCTTTCTCTCTACCTTGTGAGCCATTTCCTGTATCCAGAGCAGGGTGTGTCGTGCATAACACTTGCCCTATACTGTATATCAATGCTTATTTCTTTTAAATTGATATGCTAAGATTCACATCTTTACCATCAAATTAACTAATGAAATGTAAAGTTCAACATTAATACATTCTGTGAAGCTTACTTGCCTATAAAGATGGTGGTTAATATATTCAAAGAAGCTATGCTTATATACTGCTATATGTTTGTGAGCACATGTACAGCACTCAGAATCAGAAAGAGAACTAATTCCTTATTGATTCTTAAGGTACTGGGCAAAGTTTAGTGGTGAGCTGAGAGGAGGCAATCACCCACGTTATGAACCATCCACAATCAACGGTCACTAAAATAACACTGATCTCTCTGTTTTTATATTACTGTGGTGAACTGAGGAATGTTCATTTATTCAAAAGGGAAGGGAGTGCTGAGAATCAACTAACAATTATAACATATAATGTTATTTACAACACAGCACAGGTATTAACTTGAAAATTATTTCAAGAATATGATTCTTCAAAAATGTTACACACACAAAACTTCAGAAATGGCAGAAAAAATTATTTATTATGGTGTACAAATGAATTTCACACAGTTTTGCTAAGTATGCTGATATTAAATATGGTGATCTAAACAATTGACACTGTCATTTTAGCAACGCTAAGTTTAACAATTATTGAGTGGATAATGTATACAGGTACTGGGTACTCTATAATTATGTAAAATGAGAACTTTACTTACACAGGGTCATTCACAAGGCTAGCAATTAACTATCTTTATGGTATTCTGGAAACATTATAAATATTAAGAGTGAATGAGATGCATCACCTCTTATCTAGAAAAGTAAGTACTGCACTGTACCTGTAATGGGTAAGTTATCTAACTTAACATATTCTACTGATTTTTCTTAAAACTACAATAGGTAAAAAAATTATTACTGAATTCAAACATGGTACATTATTCAATAACTATTGAGCAGTTTCAACGAATCTTCTAACAATAATCAAACAAATACATCAATCTGAAACTGATATTAGATTAGTGTGCCTCATCTTCCATCCCTGTTGTGTGAGAGATATAAATAATTTATTGTCCAACTGTTCGGTTACTGTGTTATAACATTTGCAGCCTTTTCTTTAGCATCTATTAACTGTTTATCAAGAAAAGAAATCCTGCAGATAACCCTTTTCCTTGCTGTATAGAGCAAATAAATATTTTTAGTCATACACTCATACAGTTGCAGCCCTCTGCAGTTGCTTTCTATACCTTTTTTGTACTTCACTCCTTTTAATTTCCTCCTGTTTTGAGATTTTTTCCCTTGATCCATCCCACACATGGGAGTGAAGAAGAGATAATACAGCAGGTAGGGTGATACACACTAGTGCAGATTGGTTTGCTTATCAATGCTGACTTTCACAGTTTAAGTACTACCATTGATACTGTTAAGGAAATGGTTTGTCCCAATATATGTGGTTAAATATTACTAAGCTAATGTGCATAAATATATATAAAGTGTGAAAGCACAAAAATTGGTACAGTACATCCTATTTCTAGGAAATAAAATAAAATAACTACAGTGTACAGGGTATATGACTGTTGAACATCTGTTTTACTAATATAATACGTACTATAGTTTAAATGACATTAAACTTATCCATGTTAATCATACTACACTGTATATACAGAATATACTCAATGATCAGAATGACCACATACAAGAACTGTATCAAGATAATATGATGTTATGATGAACACAGACATGTCTGATGATGATATTATTTATAAACACACATTTAACTGGTGAAATTACGTACTGTATATGATGAATGTGGATATGACTGAACACAATGATACAATGAACTGACACCCCTGATGATAATGGACATGATTGATGATGAAACAAAGAGACTTGATCAGCACTACACATAGGAAAATCCCTCAAAAAGCCAGAGGAGATTTACATTGGCTTATGGCTATGAAAATAAATAATGACATGTATTGGTAAATTAATAATGACATTACTGGTAACAACCACCCATGGATGAAAAATTATAACAAAGATTATAACTTTCATATTTATGGGTAATATCTATGTGACTTGAGGTCCAGTATTGTGTCTGAAGATATAATGATCCTTAGTATATAAGGTGACACAAGATTGACTGAAAAGGAACAAATATAACCACCTGACTGCAGTAACTCACTTTAGTGATGATATGTGGATCAATGGCGAGGAGAATTATGAATGGTGCAGAGGAGTCTGTAAAGAGTGTGTGGACGGCATCAAGGACCGACAGCACCTTCTCCTGTTCGCAGCTATCAAGGCCATCCACAACGACCACAAGACGTGTCTGCTGGGCCGTAAATGCATCCAGGCACTTCACCTAGTGTATCACAAATGCAGTACAGTACAGTTAAAATAAATGAAACTTACAAGGATTAGGTGAAAGGGTAAAGGAGAAATAAAAAAGTTTATGCTAAAGTCAGTAATCCACTGAAGATCAAGGACAATTGGTTAAAAACAACAATACTTCATATCTTTTCAACCTGGATAATTGCTTAGCTATGCAATGACAATTTATTTCTACTAACCATTCTACTATATAGCTGGCATCTTCAAACTTAGAATTAGGTTAGTGTGTGTGTGGATTTGGTTTTATGGATACATGGTTTAAAGTGAAAAAGTAAAACTGTTTTATAGTCAATGTTATGGGCCTTATCATTGTGAACTGTGGCACCTGCATTAATGACTTAGGCAAATATATGTATGAGTGAAAAGAAATGCACTAAGTGCATTCTTGGTGTTCATCTTTATACTGAAATCATGCTGTACAGTCTGATTGCCCATGACTTAATTAAAAGTGAGGGTACATAGCCGGCCAATCACCTTTTGTCATATTGGAAATCTTTTATCTAGTTGAGATTATGGATTCAATATTAAAGTAATCTGTTTTTGATCAATATGATACTAAGAATATACAGTACAAGTATAGCACAGAATATACAGGATACCTGAATGACATTAATGAAATCTGTTTACAGAAGATGTTTACTTGTTAAGTTTTAACATAAATGATAACAGTGAAAACTAAGATAAATCTACTAGTTGCCAGTAAATTTTTAATACTATCGATTGTTTGCTTCTTATCTTTCTACTTACCATTTCCACCATGAGATTAACCTCATTCTTGAGAGTCTGCAAGTAGCCCTCTGCCTTGATGGTGTCAAGTTTGGACACAGCACGGAGAAGGTGTCGGCGGTGAGAGAAGATGAGAGAGCCAACCATACGGGCTAGAGTGTGAAGGTTGGCCACCACCACTACAGCCGCCAGCACACCCAGAGTAATGAGTAATGGATTCATTAACGCTCCATGGTACGGCCGCCTGGAAAGGAGTGAGTGGAGGAAAAATTGCTTTATCATTTACCCTAAGAGACTGTAAAAAAAAATAAATAAATAAAAGAGGGAATTAAATAAAAAAAATAAAAATAAAGTAGAACATGTGAAAAATAATAAAAAGTCCTGGAGGCTTCCTTAAGAAATATATAATAATAAATTATGTGAACATTAAAGGTCTTGTTTATAGACACTTACAGATCAATATATTCGCTTTCTTCACTGGATTCACCACTGACATCATCATCATCGTCATCATCATCTTCTTCTTCATGGAAATTCCCAATGGACTCTGCGCCATTCAATTGTTGTCTCTCTTCCGCTTCAACAGGAGTTTCAGGATGAAAACCAAAGAGTCCAGCAATAACTCCAACCGTCAGCAAACAAATGAGAGTGACAAAGAAGATAAAGATGTATGGAACACCACACAAACGTCGGTACTTCCATGGAGCCGATAAACCCTCTGTGATAAAGGAGATAAATCAAGTGAGGTTTCTGTTTCTATTGACTCGACCCACTCATAAATGTAGATGGGAAAGCAAAAGTCTTTTCACTGCTAAAATTATAAACAATATTGGGATAATTCCAACAATAAAGACATGAAATCATATTAACTAATACGACCTTACAATACTCACGTGCTTTAGGTCGGAAGGCTCTATAAAACCTCGTAGCAAACAATCCATATTCTCTCTCAACCATATCAAAGAGGGATCCCAACATCTGAACCACTGAATTCTCTCCTGCCGCTGTACTGCTGGGTTTAGCACCTTCAGCGAAGATGAACCTGCATAATAAACAAATTGTAATGAAGTGCACATAATAGCTATACAGTATTGGCAGTCTTATACAGTGATATCTCTGTTAGCTGGAATAATTGGTGCAGAGCTCTTCTGGGAATGAAAGATTTCCAGGTATACAGACGAATTTTCTCTTCCCTGAAAAAAATTGCACATCCCGGATTTTTTCCGGCTACTGTACTGGAGCAAGTTTTCAAGTCTAAACTACGCATCTCCCACAAACAAACACAGAGCTGTATTTATTTATGCAAACACCACTGTACACATAAAATATATTGCAAATAAACAAAATATACTACTGTATCTCAAGTATCTTGTAACAATGAATTATTGTAGGGACTATAAAGTTTATGCAAGTTCTTAATTGCAAAAACTGCTTTGCAATTGAAAGAGATTTCAGTAAAGTACATAATTCAAGTACAGTACTCACTTGAGAGGTCTGGCATGCACCCCATCCTTCCATTCTTTCCACTGTGATCCTGGTGGTGAGCAGAATATAACCTGCAAGACCAGCTTGAAGGCTGCCATTTGTCTTTCCAGTGATACACTCCACCTGTACCATAAATGCCATTCGTACCTGAGTGAGAACATAATCATAATTTATTAACAGGTTCTAGCCGAAGTGCTGCTGAGGAACAAAAAACACATATCAATACATAAAGATTAGAAAATACCTTCATTGTTGATATGTGATTATGAGTTATCACAGTATGACATATAAAGATCTAGCCCTGTATAATATGCACAAGGTAAAATCCTAATCAGGCTCTCAATTGGCTCAGCCATGTCAATATTGTTATTATTATCCACTCTGTCTCTGTATTTTTCTGGATAAATAAACTGTTTCAATATCAATATCAATGTCTATATTCAAATATGCATCATCCTCATAAGTCACATACTACATACAAAAAAAATAGACAATGTACCTCCTGGAACCATGCCAAACAACAACAAGGAAGAGGGTTAATGAAACGAAGATTCCACCCCCTACTGCCACACCCACGGCCCAGGAGAATGTGGGAACTGCAGTAATGAGTCCCAATAGCAGTGAAAGGTGCACTACTAGCAGCAGCACCAGTGGGGAGAACTGAAACAATGGCTCTACCCACTGACGGGCAAAACTCCCCATCTCCTCTGTTGAATAAATTCGAAATATATGTACACGGTACTGTACTAATAAGAGTTTAGAAAATAAAATGGCAGCATGAAGTTATATCAGCAATGATGTTTTTATCTGTTTCTTCTAATTAGTCAGAGCTTCACTGACACAAAAACTAGCCTCCTTATATTACCTACTAATACATTCCAACATAATACAGAAGTGGAATAAAATTTCATGTTAATCTCTCACCCTTCAGTTTGCGAATAAGGAATGACTTGCCAGACCCCCACTTTGCATAAAGGCCAACAGAGATGGGCATAGAGAGAGACGGTTCACTGAGGATGTCGGCCATAGATGATGAATACAGGTCATAACCCAACATGTTTTCATTGTCCTCATTGGTATTAAGACGACCTGTGACACAAATATGAAGAATAATGCACCATAGATTCAATATAAAATATTTTGTTTTCGACGCATCAGTAGCAGGATCTAATGCAAATCTAAATACTGTACTGTACTATGAAGTTTAACATGACTTTTTTTTACAATAACTCTTAAGGAAATACGGTACTCTTCAGAAAAGCCATTCAAAGTTAAATTTACCAACAGCAAATCTACAAAAATGCTCAATTAGCTAAATAAGGTAACACTCAATATTCATGTGACTGATATACATAACTAAGCAAGTTAAGAAAGTGTAACTCACGTGCTCCAAAGATCTGGCCAAGGATGGTTTTCTGGTTGGAGAGGTCGATGTTATATGGAGTCTCACCAGCTCGATTTGGACGGTATAACAGCTGACTGTTTTTAGGATTTCTCAGCAAGATTTCTACTATTCTCTGAAAAAAGAAATATGTTGTATAGTCAGTATAAACTATCTGGTATCTTACAAATATTTTACAGACATACCTGCAGAAGAAATAAATATTGTACAAAAGTCAAAAGTTTTGTTCTAAACACTAATTTCTTTCGTGAATATTAAAACATATTGTTAACAAACCTTCGACCGGCCTCTCATGGCAATGTGTAATACAGTGTCTCCTTTCTTATCGGCAACTGACACCCGTGTCTTTTTGTCTACTAATAGCTGCACCACTTCCGCATTCTTGTTACGGACTGCTCGTAGAAGGCAGGTATCCCCTTCTTTAGTAGTGTGTTCGAGGTCAGGATTTGCACTTAAGAGAACCTGTTACATAAAATAAACATTTAGACATGTCCTTTCATACTGCTTTAAAAATACCCCCTGTACTGGAAAACTGGTTCATATAAAAATCAGGTTGTAGAAAAGGATATTTCAGAAACTGGCATCTAACCTATGGAAATTAGTTATACTGTAATTGAAAGCTAAACAAGACCTAAAGAAAGTTAAGTTCTGAAACAAAACTAAACGTAAAAACATTCATTGGTTCCGAGATTCTTGAATTCCTGCATTAACAAATTTACCCAATAATAATTACAAATTATAGTATAATGAACGACATCAAAAAATACTTCAATTCACCAAACTCTTTATATGATACAGTACTTCAGGTTCCAGAAAAATTCATTGACTAGTGTTTCAAAGAACAAATTATGATTCTGGAAAAGAAGTGTGATGGACTGTACTGAGTTTGTAAATAAAATTTAGACAATTCTCTTGAAACTTAGTCATAGAAAACTAATAAAGTTTCTACCTAAAAGTGTATTTAAAATCTAAGTTCAAACAACAATCATAAAAAATTTAGTGAATAACTGTTTACCTTGACAACTGCTGTATGACCTTTCTCTACTGCCCAGTATAGCGCTGTCTTCCTTTCCTTGCCCACCATATCTACATCACAGTATTTCTTAAGCAGCGACTCCACTACCGCCCGGTGACCTCCACGTGCAGCATAAATAAGATTTGTATCACTATTCCGATCCTGTAAACAACAACCAAAAATTAATACAGTACAGTATTTAAACTGTGCCTCTAATGGCTAGCTGTATCCCACATTAACACACTACATGTACTGTATGCATAAAAAGATTTCCTCATTAACTGAAGTGAATTTAAACAAGTCATCAGCTGAATATAAAAATTTTGAAAAGAGTAGAATGTCATAATGTACTATACCTGCATGTTGACATAGGCTCCACTGTTAAGTAAAGCATTCGCAATCTCTGTGTAACCCTCCTTACAAGCAATAGTAAGAGCTGTGCCTCCATCTTTGTCCAAAGCATTGAGGTTAGGACGGTGCTCCAGTAGAAGATGAACCAGATCCACGTAGTTACCCCGTGTGGCTACCAGCAAGGGGGTCCATGAATACTAAAAACAAACATGAGCCACCTGTTATTTTGGTAATACTGTATTGCATTATAAAAACACACAAATGAGCCACTGACACTTAAATTATCATAAGATGCTTTAGTTCTCACCTATACAGTACAAATAAAATACGAAATTTAAAAATCATCCAAAATTCTATACCTGCATCATAAAAATAAGCACTCATTTCATAATGACCTTAACAAAAAAAATCCATCATAAACAGTTTTTTTTCTCTTAACAAATACCGGTAATAACTTTGTCAGACAAAAAAAATTATGTAAAATAAATCATTTTCCTTTTCAATTCTTTTAAACCTGGATGCAAGAGCAAATGTACACAATATTGTTTCCTTTATTTATTGTCACTCATTTAATCCTACTGTTGTAATAGAAGTGTAAAGTACTGCCATGGTACTCCCCTTCCACAACAAAGCCCCAGATCTGGTTTATCTTTGTTATTTCACATACTCTGTATGCTTTTATATCATTCTAAAAGAGAAATTATATATCAAAAGAGGTATTCACAACCAAAATCAATGCTGTAATAAGCTCACCATGCCAGAAGCATCCACGTTTGCCCCATGTTGCAATAGATCTCTAGCAATCTCATAAAATCCTTTACGACACGCCCAGATTAGTGGAGTCGTTCCAAATTTATCTCCAATGTTAACCTTGGCCCCATGCTCCAGCAGGTCATGGACGATCTCTGTGTGACCTCGTCCAGCTGCCCACACCAATGAGGTCATGTGGTGTTGACCCTGAGTGTTGGGGTCTGCACCACGTGCCAGTAGCATCTTGACCAGAGCAGTGTGACCTTTGTAGCATGCCCACATGACTGCCGTCCACCCACCCTGAAGTATAATTAAAGACATGGGAATCAGAATACATAATAGCAAGGAAAAGAAGTTATTCCATATACAATTTTAAAGTTCCATTTCCAAAGGATAACATTTTCAGAGTTTTCAGAGATCACACATATATCCTACAGTCTACATCTAACTTTTAGCAACTGATATTAAAACACATAATAACTAGGTCATGGCAGCAACTTTCTACTGCACATTCAGAGCAGTGTGGATACAGCACACTGTAGACATTTGCCTATTTTCATTACTAAATGAAGTATAGTGTGGCCGGCCAGCTTTGCATTCAACTGCTTTCACTTTCCTCAAGTATAAAGTTAGGAACCCATTTATAGCTGTAGGAACTGGAGGCTACATAGCCACATAACTGCAACCCTATGGACAGGAGGTGAGTGTTGTGTCCACTCAGTAGCCACCCCTAACTTTATATGACATTCACCTAATGGAAATGAATGTACTAATTGATAGGGCTGTTTCTAGGAAACAGCCCTATCAATCAGTTCCCTAGCAGTGCTGCCATTTTATACATTTTTCGTCTACTATGCGAAGTAAAACTGAGTGGGAACTTTAACATTCCGAATTGCAGACGGTACTCTGCAGCAGTGCAGAAAAAAATCCACTTTGTTTGTTTATAATGTTTCATCAATTATATGGATATTAACATTAAGGCTATGTCTAGAATGTGCTTTACCATTATTGATGATAATAATAAAACATATAAAATAAGCCGGTTTTAAATCCGGAATATTTCTTTACGGAACACTCCATCTTGACCAACAATTTTGGTCATCCTTATTTCACAACTGCCAACATTTACAGTAACTATCCTGTCATTAGCAACCTCAAGTATAGATGTTGAATGAATATTCTCAAAAGTTAATCTTATTAAAACAAAGACCAGAAACAACTCTTGACTACTACCATAACATCACAAATTATTGCCTCTGAAAAGGTACAAAGGGGAAGGAGGCTGAGTAAATTTCAAACCTGGCAAAGGCTTGGTAAATTGGATAAATGTCATTGTGAATTTGTAATGCTACATTTCAGAAGCAATAAGAATGTACGGTATATTTTATTTGTGTATTTCTTTGCAAACTTGTTTAGAATTATAAAATTAGCTAAATAGTTTTGTTTTAATTCCACCGATCCCTGTGTCTAGTAAATTAATCTACACTTCCCCTAAAATGTCAAAATTTTTTCTAACATAAGCATGACAAAATATGTGCAATGTGTGTTTTGAGGAGTAAACAGCACCAATGTTCCCTAGCCACACAAGTCGTGCGAAGTAAGTTGCCACATGACCAAGGGAAGTACTGTAGGGGTAACATCACACCTGTACAGTACTGTAATAAAAATATGTACCTGTACAGTACTAACAGCCTATTCTGAATATACAGTAGTTTCTGAATCCGAGTCTTACCAATTCTCTGTGATGGATATTGGCGCCATGGTCCAGAAGTGTTGCCACAGTCTCCACATGGCCTTCCTTGGCTGCTGTGATGATGGGCGACCACTGGTCCTGCGGTTACAATTGCAAACACTTGAAATATTTGCCTTAAAGTGAACAACAATGGAGAGAATATTGTTACTTGGTGATGAAAGTTACTCTTGTAGGTGGTGGTGATTGACTGTGACCATGTTAAGTGGTTATATATTCTTGTATTCATGTGGTGTTCAAAGTTTCTTGGAAGAAACTAATACCCAGTGAATGGTCTTTATTGAACATAACAATCACTTACGTTGTCTTCAATGTTAACGTCTGCACCGTGGAGGAGGAACTGGTTGCAGAATTCAGGCTTGCCCTTGCTAGCGGCGACGATGAGAGCGGTGGCACCATTCTCATCCCTGTCATCAATAACCACAGTGCGGGTAGCCAGGAAGGTTTGCAGGCCAGTCAAGTTGTCCTCCGAAATGTATGACTCCAGGGACTTGAAGCTCAGCGACACCATCTGGTCCGACTGGTGAGGAAGAAAACGAATACAAAAAATGTGTAAGTACAGGTTCTAGCATTGAAATAAATACTCGACACCACCAAACCCGGTAGTAAAAAAGAAAACTAGACGAGATGCACATAAATTTTGGAACTGTACAGAATTTAAACAAGTGCATAAAAATATACGAACATTAATAAAAAAATACGAACGAAATGTTGTTGCCAGATACATAAACAACTTGAACGACTAAGAGTATGCAAAACTCACATAGGAGTACCGTGCTCGAAAATTTAGTAGAGTGCACAGTGCAGAAGAACAGTTGAAAATTGGTGCATAAATAATATGAATAACATCCTTAATAGTATTATATTTACAAAAGGTAAACATAAAATGGAATACGTGAAACTGTAAGCCGAAAAGTATTATAAAAGTACGCGCTTGAGCTGGGCTAAGATTAAGGTATTCCTTGATGGTTCTCTTCATGGACCAGTCCAGGGAGAGCTGCCAACATGAAATGTGAAAATTTCCCATTTAATTTGATTAGCATATTTGACCTTGACAATGATATGATATCCTCTCTGGATGTTGAATGGTTTGTTACTCTAGTAGCCATTTAGATCATTAGAATAACTGTATAAATGAAATAATACTGTGACAATGATCTTGTATACAGGTTCCTTATTTTATGAAGTGTCTGTATTCTGCTCAGCGAGTGACAAAACCACGAAGCCTATACCGTACTCTAAACACAACGACATAACGCATCCCTTCATACTCTTGTTTCTAACCTCACTCAGCACCCTAACAAGGTATAAATGGCTTACTGTACTGTTGTCATGGTCACAATGACTGCTGGTCTGTTTGAAACCTGATGATTCATATTATACTCCACGCCCGCAAAACATGTGGATAACTGGTGAGTTATCCCTAGGAAGAAACGCTTTTTCCCTCTCTTAAGGTGCCGGCCATTTTGTCCAAGATCTCAACGTATATACACAAAGGCTCCTTGTCCGTAAGTCCAGCCCATTTGGGGTACTAACAGTTGTCAACGTGTTTATTCCACTTTTTCCTGGCAAGCTCAATCTCGAATTAGTTTACGTAAATCAATTTAAGAAATTCGCCAGAATCATGTCAACTGAGGGTCATCTTTGAATGTGTAGCAGTTGATTTGAATGTAATTTCTGTCATTGCATGAGTAGCCATCTCTGGCAACTCATGCCGTATATAAACCTGTGCGAGAAGGAGAAACAGCCCTTCCTTGACGTCTCCAAATTATCCCAGGTATGTGAGCTAGTGTTCCCCGCCGATATAGTCATTCAGTTTAACTTAGTCAATTTTGTGAGTATCAGTGTTCATGTTGTAACAGTGAAATTGTCATTTACCCAGTGTAAGAAGTACTATAACGTAAATGTCGTCTGTCGTTGCTAGACGAAAGATTGTTTGTGATTGGGTCATCATCATCCCTCCCTTGACGTCTCCAAATTATCCCAGATCCAGTGTGTGGGTTATTTGAACACCCCGCCGGCTGCCCGGGGTCGGTGGCTACCTAACAGTTAGCAGTATTGGACGATGTCGCTGATTCGGCAGGATTAAACTGCTCCAGTCCGCATTCTGGGAACTAGACACTTAGTGTGTTTTCGTTATTTCTGACTTATTGTGTTACTCAATCATGCCTGAATGCCCCAGTGATAGTTCCTCTTGTGCTGAGCAGCTTGATGTGATTTTATATGATGTAATAAGGCGAAATAAGGCATAAAAGGGGCATAATAAGAGTGGTGATGGACCAGTAAGGAGTGGTAGAAACTTGAACTTGGCACCCATGACCATCACTACCATCCTCAACACAGGTAAATAACAGTCTCAATTTACATTGCTTATTTAAAGCTTATTAAGCTTGCTTTATATGTTTGCTCTTTTTTCTGCTTGACAGTGTACAGTACAGAAATATATCAAGGGTAGATGGTTGTTTTGGAGGGTGGCTGGTCTCTACCCGCCTGAATTTGTTATAGTCTTATGGGATTAATTGCTTCGATAACCATTGATTCCTTTGGCTTTTATTTACTGATTTTGCAATACAGTATAGACTGCATTTACGCGGTCAATTGAGCCCGTGGAGGTCCGCGTAAAACGAGAAACGCGTAAACGAAATAACAGACCATATGGGATTAATTGAAATAGAGACTGGGCCGACCCCCAAACTCCACTTTTTCCGACACAATACATACGTTGTAGTAAAAATAACATCTTAATTTTATGATGGTATGCACACAAAATTAATATTTAAGAGAAATATCAATAATATTAGGTTTTTTAACACTTAGGTTAGTAGAAGAGATGGCTGGGCACACGGGGATGGAGGGGTTGGTTCCGAGGCAGTGGGCAGATTATTGGCCCTCACCTGTATCACTTGTATTAATTGTATCACTATCCACCACAGAGGCTTGCAGGGCCTCTTTGTCAAACCCCTCAAGCCCACATCCTCACTATCACTATCACTGACTTGGGCTGGCTGTGGTGGGTAGTGGGTGAAGAACTCGGTAATGTTTTGATGACTGGACGACCTTGTGCGCACCCTGCCCACGCCGCTTCCCGCGTAAATGATGAAATTTACCGCGTAATTAAAACATTTCATTCTGGCAAGGTGCCGCGTAAGTGACCAAACACGTAAACAAAAACCGCGTAAATCCAGACTATACTGTACTGTACAGTATTTTTTGTTGATGTTATTTATATTCATTCTTCACATTTCCTGGTGTGAGAATATTAATGGAATTAATCTCGATTTAGAGAACTAGTTCACTAAATCAAGCGAGAAATAACGGAAAAATGCCTTCCACTAAATTAAGAGCTAGTTATATGGGATTCCGTTAAATCAAGGTATACTGTATAATAAAAATGTAGAATGATAATTGTTATTAAATATAGCAGCTAGGGAAACTTGCGCTGCTGGGTTTGTATATGAGAAAAATATTATCGAACTTTTTTTTGTTTTTGTCTGAGCCAAATTTAAAAAGTAACCAGTGCCGGATTTAGACCTGTGGAGGCCCATGGGCAGCCTCTTTGTGGAGGCCCCCCTCATTATAACTACCCAAGAGGGTGGGGTGGCGAGTGAAGCGAGCCTAAACATCTGGGAGTTCCGGGGGGCGCTGTAAGCCCCCCGGGAAAATTTTGAAATTTGAACACTTCTTTAGAGAATTTTGAAGCCATATGCAGTTATATTAACAATATTAAAAATATACGGTTCATAGGAAAACCAGGTATTCATGAATTTCAAGGAGTAGCTAGCCTAATTTCTATCACGCTTCTTGCTGAACATAGTTTTACGTGATGGAATAGATAAACATTAATTTTAAAGAATGAAAATAAAAATAATCCAAATGAATAAACAAATAAATAAAATATTGTAATATGTGGAGGCCCCCAGATTGTGGAGACCCCTGGGCAGCTGCCCACTTTGCCCACTCCTAAATCCGGCCCTGAAAGGAACACTAAGTTCCACACCCCCAGGATGCTCTGAGTATGCAAGCAAAATTCTAGGGTTAGAGGCTTCATGATCTTGGAGCTATGGCACTGAATGAATGACACACGCACACACTATCGGCTAACGAGCCGATCAGTGGTGAAGAGGATAAAAGTAAAAAATATCAAGCCCCTGAACTAAGTTAACTCTCCTCACTGACACCTTACACCACTGAGGGACAAGGAGCAATAAATATTACTTGTACAGTAGCCTATACCTATCAGTTTTTTTTCCAATTTTCAAAATTATCTTCAAGTGAAACGAAGGTTCAAGACTTTACTATCAACTGTCCCAATGTTTCAAACTGCAGTAAAAAAAAAATAATAATATGAATATGAGGTTTCAATCACAATACAGGTACCGTCCTCGTATCTGAGGGTTGGCGACCATAGCCCTCCACTCAAACCGTCAAACGTTCTCAGGTTGTTTACATCAGTGTTAATCATATTTGCCATTCAATCAACAATTCATAACATTACAAGTCACATTACACTGCATAATTCTTGTTAATAAAAGGGTATAATGATCAGCCTAAAACAAGGTAAGCTGATCAGCCACAACAGGTGCGGAAGACAACGGGTTTTGGTGCATCACACTGTGCGGTAAAAAAAAATCAGTGGTCAGATTGTTTAAGGTTCGTACGATGAATTTTCCTTGTAGGTGAAAATGTAAGAATTTTCCTTATTGGTCTACTATACATACGAAAATAACGTACAAAATATAACATCAAAATTACATTGGATAATGTCACTTAGCAGTGCTTAGGACACCAAATTTTGTGCATGGCTGGTGATGAACGAACCTATCTAGTTGTGGTAGTTTTTCAATTTGATTTTGATGCTGATTTTGTGTTTTACCTTAAGTCAGCAAAGCACAGTCTTACATTTAAGCTACAAGGAACGTTTACGTACGGACCTTTGAGAATCCGAGAACCACATCCAGGTTTTCAGATACATAATTATGATTATTATTTTTTTTTCTGTAAGAGGATATGGGAGAACATAATCTGGTCACAGAAGCCTATGTCAATTACAATGGTACCATCTTTTCACCGCTGCTTAGGACCTCAGCCTTCGGTGATCCAGGATAAAGTTCTCACATTTTCAACCACGGAAGAATCTAGATTCTAGAATTTCTCTAAATTTACTTAGGCTGTCTCTTAATCCTGAAGTTGAGATTCGTGAGCGAACGTCTGACACAATATTATTGAGAGACAAAAAGTCAAACTTGTGAGAGGCATTTGCATCCAGCGTGAATGTAGTCGAGGCACGTGATGAGAAATATGACTTACGACTCTCTTGTTATTTGGTGGAGTGTGGAGCCGCGTGTTGTCACTCTGAAAAGATTCAACACAGCTGTCTTTACCTTTCATATACGTAGTTCTCAACCAGGAGGGAAATTGTGTGTTGTGGAATGCTACTTATCACACGGCAAAAGATACGAAACAAATGTAAGAACTAAATAAACAGAGAATCCGGCATATTATAGTTAGGGTCAGTCCTTT